CTGTGTGCTAATCTCCTTGAACCAAACTTCGTCAATGTTTGAGAGTGGTATGTCTCTTGATCCTTGCCGTGTTCTAGGGTTCGTCAAGTCTAGCTGTAGAGATGCACAAAGCTCTTGCAATTAGAGCAATGACCAGTCAGCCAAGTGCTTCATGCCCTTTTGTTCGTATGGACATGCTCTGGAAAAGATTGTGCATCATCTTCCACTGCACAACTGTCGAGATGCATCGGTGAGTGTTGGAAGGCGCGGACGTGCCAAAGTTCAAGACAAGTGCAAGTTGGAACCTTGGGTGACGACGGTTTGTGACGCGCACACCCGTACAGGATGGATCTCTCAAAGGACCCTGACAGGACTCAGGCCGTAGGTAGGGGCATTACTCGCGTTGATGCGAGTCGGTTTGCTCAGCTGACCAGTGATATAAGTGTAAGATTATTCAACAACAAGCCCTGCCCTCTCATTAAACAAAGCGGCGCATAGCTTGCAATGGCGCCTTGGTACTGAGTACGCAGTCTGGCTAGTTCAGGCCCGTCAACAGAACTGCAAGCCGAGTCCAATACGACACTCTCATCATCAATGACTAGATCTCAATATTCAGAATCGTGCTTGTTGCTGCACAGAACGCTGATTCTTGACTCAAGCCTCTGAACGTCGTGCGTGACGGTTGCCTGTTCGGACGGGCCGGCGATCCAGTCCATTGTTTCGCACGGACGCTACTCGTATACGCGTTGTGCAATCCAATGGTAGGTGACGTCGCCGGCACGGCACGCAAAGACAGAGACATACCAGTTGCACAACACCAATGCGGTAGGTGGGATAGGGTTTTCGTGTTGGTATATTCTGGTAGTCTCATAAAGTCAATTGGACGCCGTGCAACTTCACACGAAGCCCATGACAGCGAGGCTCCGTGTGCACATGACGAACATGCGCAAGAGGCTGATCTCTTCTCGGAATCCGGATGCCACGTGCTGCTCCAAGACGAATGGAGACAGGCATCTCCTCAAGAGGAACTCCGATGACAAGCACATCCTAATCGGTCCTTGAAGCTGATAGTGTCAACTCAAGGCGCCTCCTGACTCTGATCAATGCAGCGTATCTCGCAGCGATGGATTCAAGACATGAGGGTCACTGTGAACCTTGAGACCGAAAGGATCACGAGTAATGATCCGTTCTTTCCTTCCAGAAAAAACGGGTTGGTCTCCGTCGTCGGCGAAGGCTGTCGTAGAAGAAAAATCAGNNAGACACGCCTTATCGGGCTGGAAACGTAGAATTGTCGCAGAATATCAAATAATGAGACATTTCGCGGCGCTTGTTTGGTGGAAAATCGCAGCACAGCAAGGAAAAGGAGCAAACGCTGAACTCCACACCAAAAGTTCTCCACGCACCCACGGGATCGCGCACCGAGGTTCGCTCAGCAGGTGCTGATTTAGCTTCGGAAGCGCGGCGCGCGTTTAAGGTTCTGCCGAACGGNCAGCGAAAAGTGCGCAATTGTTGATCCAACAGGCATGGTCATTCATTCCCCCTTTGCGCAAGACCGACGGAGGATAGTGTTCAAGACATCTACAGGGCTATGCTGACTAGAGAGGAAGAGGATGCGAAGAAGATTGCCGAACGCGAGAGCGTACAGGAAAATCCCCTTGGCGACCGAGCTCAAGGAAAACGGAGCCGGCGAGCAAGAGTCGCACGAAATAAGCATGTAGTTACAACACTCGTATCTCGTGAGACGCACACGCTGTACGCGCTTCGATCAGAACCTTCCATCCCTCCCTTACGCGTGGGATGTGCTAGACTTGTTGGTTCAGAATGGAATGTAAACGTAGATCCGTCAAAAGGCACAGCGAGGCTTTCGGTCCTGGCGAGCCTGGCCATGGGTCATCGAGATGTCGCGCATGCTCTTCGTGGACGTTGTGGATCTCAAAAGCAACATGTCGCTTGATAGGTAGTTGAGATCGGAGTTCTTGACATAGCGAATTCGATTCCAACAGATCCTCCCTGCAGCACGCAAAAGAATGATGGTTTCGAGTGGAGGTACAAATGTAAGTTCCCTTATTGATCGCGCAGATTCAATGCCACCTGATCTTGATGGCGCTGATTGACAACCCGAAAAATGAGGAGACGACGCGCGCCCGTGTCATCTGCGTCTTGTTAATCAAGCGCGGGGAGCGGCTCATTGTACCTCTGATAAGGCGCCTCGCGCGGTGTCTTCTTCAGTAGTCGTGTCGACGGCTGGCAGAGCATCTCTCAAGCAACCTGGAGTAAGTGCCCTGCATCCTGCATGCACCGCAGATGTGACGGGTCTGCATGTGGATAGCTGAAGTCTGAACTCAAGCACATTTACCTGACTCGGTGAATGACATGCGTATGTGTGGAGAAAGAGCCCAAATCGGCCTCGCTTTCAACAGTCGTGTCTTTAAAATAGTGCCGCGTGCATCTGTCTTGTCAGAGGAGCCGGAGACACATGCATACTCACTTGAAATAGCAACTGACTGTTGGTGAGCACACTGCATGTCAATTATGCGATGCTCATGCACCAGTGGTGATAGCGAGAGCAATAAACATCACAGACACAAGGCTCTTGAGAATCCTCCTGACAGTCGCTTAAGCATGTATGCAGGCCTTTTCCGGGTTAGACTCGAGCGCTACCCGGTTGGATAAAGCTACCAATTTAGCAAATCCTGATGATGTGACTCGGCTTGTCCGCATCAATGCGATCATTGCGAGCATCTGTCAATAGAATGATGTTTGCCAGGCAGGCAAACTAGAACGAAATTGTGGACAAGACCATCTGTTAAACATGACAATAGTCGGTCGTATGCACTGTCAGCCAGGGCTGTTCGGAAAGATTTGGTGTCAAAGCACGTGGGGATTTGAGTGAGCAATGTCTTTGACCGTTGGTTTTCTTTGCGAAACCCGAGACGAATAGAAACCATGACAATCCCTGGCTTGCGAGCTGCAGTAGTCCTGCAGCTGTAAGCCAGCATGCCACGCGACTGCGCGTGTCCGCGAGGAAACGTGGCGCTTTGTGTTCAACATGTCGACGTCCTTTGACAGGGGACAGCGCTATCCTGACGGGCCCTTGATGCACAACCTCCCGATTGACAGCGATGGCAAGGGTCGCTTAGATGCACCCTGGGCTGCACAAGAGGCTCGCCGCATGATTTATCTAGCAAGCCCTTTTGATCCAGCTGCGACGAGGTATGAGCGAGGCAGTGAGACAGAGAGACCGAGCGCGCAAAGGGATTTTGTCGACAGGTCAAGATGCAGAAACCGGACAGCGCGGTGCCAAACGGCCATGTCTTGCATGACACACAGACGTGATGGCGCCGCACCTTGGCGGTTCGGAGCTGATATCATTACGGTAGGCTATTCGGTGATGCGCGGCGGGAGAGGGCAATCCTCCTCGCCGTCCCACATTGACAGCAGCAGGTCCCGCACATCCCGGCGAGATTCCCGAGAGAAGGCGATTGATTGATTTACTAGGCCGCCTGCCCTGACGATATGCGTACATGCGATATAGCTGTACGAGAGGGAAGCAGCAGCAGACGCGACAGGGACAGGAACAGGAACAGGATCATGATCAGGGACAGCGGGCGAGGCGCCTTCTTTTTATGCTTGCATGTGAGGGAGGGTCTAGAGAGCGACCGAGGGGCTGATGCTGCGCGGTGCAGTGCGATGCTGCGCTGCGACTTGTTCTTAGGGGGGCTTTCTCGAAGGAACATGCCACGGCGGCTTGAAGCTGCGCTGCTGCTGTTGTTGCTTGATCGGTCGAAATGATCGCAATCTCCCTTCTCATTTCACCAACCACCAGCCAAACTCCAGGTCCGACCATCGTTTTTTTGTGTTTAAGGCTGACGAAAAACCGTTAATTCCATCTGGAACATCGCCGCCACACAGTCATAAGGCAAGACGTTGACTCCGAATGAATTGTCCCTAGTCTCAGGTCTGAGACAGTGGTTTTGTCAGTTCTCAAAGACATCCGGTGACCGTGTTCGACTCGGCATTTAGCGATTATTATATGGGTGCACTGAAGCCATCCCGAGACGCTTGCAAGGACTCGGGACTTCGAATCTTTGGTAGCGAATTGAGCGAAAAGACATCGTTCGCGGGAACACTGCAACTTTGAACCAGTCAGATCGTCGACCAGCGCCCAGGGCCGGTACTTTTCCAAACATCACCCACGGTTAGTGCCCTTTTGTGCTGAAGCTACCATTATATTCCAGTCCTCATTGCTGCGCAGCACGAGAAATACCATTCGGCATCCGCCCTTTTGTTCAGCCCTTTTTTCATTTTTTGGCCAGCCTAGTCGCCTCCTGTACCATCGACAAGCATCGCTCCTCGGCGCCGCCTCCAGCTTGCACCTGTCCGCGACGGTTGCTGCCCCTCCCGCGCGCGCGCGAACCACGGCTTCCCTGGCCACATTAACCAAACTGCCACGTTCATTACCAGACTTGTCGATCCAGAGACTGCAGTTTTGGGTGCACGTACGAGCTCCTCTGTACCGCAGGACTCGACTCAGCTTGTCCTTTGCACAGGCCATTTAACCACGCTTTCATCACCACGCACCCACGGATCTGTTCCGCTGGCTCGTCCCGGTTACAGCCCTCACCCATAGGCCACCCGCAACCATCTCGTCGTCGATCGAGAAGACGTGCTTAACAATTTGTTGCCTGTCAGGGTTTTGTTTCTGCGGTCCTGACATCGTCACCTGCAAGCCTTCCATAAGGTTGCCGACCCGCTCTTTGAACGTCTGATAGCTTCTACCACTTCGACGCCGCATACTCGTGCTGCGAGGCAGGATCACCCGAACCGTTTCTTCACCTGGCTGGATGCGACTTTTCCCAATCTAACGTTCGCGGACTTCCAACCACTACGACAGACGACCACAACATCTCGCATCTCTGTCGTCGCTGCGCATGGAAACTTCTGAGCCGCAACTAATACCGCTGAGACAATCCTTCTCCGCGAGCTGCACGAAGATTTCCTCTCCCCGCGCCACGCGCTTGATGCCCGACAGGACCCATCGTCTCTGCCTGTTCGAATCTCATACGTCAGATTCGGAATCAATTAAACGCGACACTCCCACCAGACGCGTCTCATCCAACGACATCAGTGTCAGGAACCCCGAATCTGCTCACCTGGAACCCGAGAGAGTGGTTATTCGCCGCATCCTGTACCCATCATCTTTCCAACCTCCAACTGGAAGCTCCCGTTCCTTCTCATCAGTCAAGGCCAGATTGCAGCAGGACGCTCTGCCAGGTCGACTTGAGGGCACCGGAGACTCACATGGTGGATTCTGATGAACTACCCATATCACCTTCAGCCAGAGCAACCACCCTCCAGCAATCGAGCGCTGGATAGGTAAGGCTGCCAACAGTCGCGCCAAGCCCCCAAGCAGCGATACATCTGTTTTACCACGGTTTGACAGACAAAACTAACCATGTTATCCCACAGCGGCGATTATGAGCTCGTGGTTCGCCAACAACCAAACGAAGCCCTCGTGACTCAGACGGGCAAAGAGAAAAGTAAGCATTCATCCCTGTACACCGACCGCTTCAGCTGTGGTTGCTAACCGCGTTACCGTACACANGACAGAAAACCAGTAGACCCTCCGCCGATTATCGAGTTGAGGGTGACATCGAGTGCGGATCCCGGAAAGTACGTATATTCTGGCATGACGCATTCGTGCAGGACTGATACCTTTGCACAGNNGCAGTTTTTACAGAGCCCCTACTTGTTTATGCAATGCACCCTCCAGGTGGAACAGCAATCTAACTCGAGCGACAACTCTCCTCCTGCAGTCCCTGCTGGTCAAGAGATCACAGGCCAAAGCGTCTCATCCTTGCATAGATTAAAAGACATAAACAACGAAGGTGAGTGCACGCGATCAAACCAAACATGCACGAACAAAGCTAACCATTTGCGCAACGTTAGANNTGGCGGATTCTTCGTGTTTGGAGACATCTCGATCCGCGTGCTGGGAAGGCACAAGCTCAACTTCAGCCTGTTCGAGCTCAGGAAAGACACTGGAGAAGTTGTGTTCCTCAAATCCATCACGTCCGAGCCCTTTGATGTGGTGCAGCAGAAGCAGTGGCGTGGCCTCGTCGAGTCTACTCATCTGTCCAGAACCTTCTCAGACCAGGGCGTGCGACTGCGTCTGCGCAAAGAAAACCGCAATGTAGCAGGGTAAGATGTCCGTGGCTGGAAAGCGCGTTTCGAATGCTAACCACTCGTCACAGTNTCTAAGCGTACGCTTCCCTATTCTCCTCGAAACAGCACTCAAGCAGGGCCGTCGATGTTTGGGTACGACGATGACCCGAACAAGAGACATCGCTCCAATGACCATGCTCCACCACAGGGCTACTCGATGACAGAAAGAGGCCCTCTTGCATACGATCCCCGAGCAGCGTCNGCAGAACATACCCCCTGCCCCCTACAGTCTCCAACAACAAGCCTTGCTCCAGTCGCCCCAAACCTCCTTCGGCTCGCGCACCCCTACCGCACCTCCTGGCTGGTCCCATACCCAGGTATTTCAAACTCCNNGCAAGCCTCCATATCTGCGCCAGTGAGGTTCCCAGAAGGCAGTATTGATACCGCGCAGGGCATCGCCCCAAGTCCAGGAGCGGCAGGCTATGGCTTGCAGCCTGCACCACCGATGGGACACGAGTCTGTCCCTGCTTTTCCAAGAAGGAGCACGGATTCGTACCTTTCTATGGCTCAACACTCGCAAACAAGCCCAAGCACACCATATCAAGGGCCGGGTGCCGCAATGTACATTCCGACCAGTGGCAGCTTGCAAGGACCGTCTACTTACAGCACCGAACACGATCCTGCGGCGATGGCTAGACAGCACACACAAACTCATTCGGTTGCGAGTCCTGCATCGTCCACGAGATCGGGCTTGATCCAAGCAGCCCCCGCTTACTCGATGCAGCCGCAGCCGTTGGCGCAACAATCCTACGGTGCATTGTCGGAGAATCAGCCGTTCGAGTACCAGCAGTATCGACAGCCAGCTTACCAGCCTCTTCCTCCTCAGACACTTCTGCAGCAACCCTCAAGCAATCCGAACCACGAGGTGGGAAGACACCCACAACAGCCGCTAGGCAATCCTATCGATATGCGTACCACGCAGCAACCGAGTCCGTACATCCCACAATCGCACCCTAGCCTTGCCATTCGCCCGCAGCAGCCTGGACAGCCGTACGTTTCTACACAGCAACACCAGCAGTACCCAGCAGATCTCGGTAATCCTTACCAGACCCCTGGAGGAGTGAACTACCCTACTACTCAGGCACCGGACCAGTCCAGGCCATACTAGAAGTATGAGCACGCGAGACAGTGGCCAGCAAACGACGTAAAACGAGAAAGACGACCCCGAAGACCATTTCTTGAACCAAGATTAAAGAATCATGACTCCGATTCAGTCATGTTGCAAGACACGATCAGCAGGCTGGACACTTGGGCAGGACTGTGACCTCTGCTGGAACACCTACAAACATAAACACTACAAACACCACAACACATCAAACTACGCGCGCGCGCACGTACACTTGTACCCACACCACCTCAACAACACCACTATATACCCAATGCTGGGCCATGCTCTTGCATTTGTTCTTTCGTTTCATTGTTTTATACCACTGATCATTCCTAGCGAGGAGTCCTGGACGGCACCTTGGGGGCGGGATATCCATCGGCTGGCTTGGTCCTTTGATCTGGATTTTTGCTTTTTGCTTTTACGTGTATCGACGCCGATGGGTTTGCACAGGACATCACATGGCTTGTTTTTCTTATTAATGTTGACTACCCCATCCCTGTACTCTCTACATCCTTTTCATGTTTGTTTTTTGTTCCACTGCTTTCCGAGTACTATATCCATATACCCCTTGTCGGAATAAGATAGCTGTGATTTTCTGTTTATGCACCTTCAACACAACTTTCATTGTTCTTGCCTTGAGTTTGTGCTTTGCCCTTGCCACTCTGAACTCTTGATTCGCACTTGCCATCGCAACACTGTGGCGAAACTACCTTTGTCTCAACGCGCCTCGCGCCAACCTCATCATATCCACGTCAAACTCATCGTTATCGTTCAACAAGGTCTAAAGTCATGAACACTGACATAGCCCTATGATGGCGAAACATTATCTCAAATACCTTGATACAAAGTTCTCACCTTCATGATCCGGAGACTACCCCGACAAAGTCATCGGTGTGCTGGCCCGTACCGCGACAGCGCCCAAATCAGCACGGTCAGCACCAACAAAGCATGTACGTAACGTTCCCTCTGGATGAATGAGAAGACGTGGAGCATGCCTGCTGACCACAAGAGGGCTATTGACTCAACCGCATACTCCTGAACTATTTCCTGACTTTGTGGCTGGGAGTTTAGCTCACCTTCGCCATCGCCATCGCCGCCGGGCCAGAAACGCCTGGCCGGCAACAATGAGCCTCTGGACCCGTTCAGCGACTTGAGTGCCGACATAGGAGCGAACAACGCCGCGCCGGGCTTTTTCACAAACGATGTCTTGGACGAGGGGTTATTCCCTTGCCCGGCTGACGTCGGCATGCACTGCTTTGTCCAGGTTGTCAAGGAGGAAACTGCAGCCTGCAAGAAGGATTTGAGTTCTGTCGCTATTGACCCTGAACTCTCGACACAACAACGTGGAAGACGTTTGTACAGAGTCATATCATGATGTCCGTTTTGCTTCGGAAGAGGACATTTGAAAGACCTTTTCCCTCAAAGGGTCGTAGACGCGAACAAACGGATGCACCGTTTGTGGCTTCTTCCGGCTCTACCTTCTCGACTTGAGGCGTTCATGGTGGCGCTTTTGGGCGTTTCCGTCTCGACCGACGCTGTTTCCCTGCCTTTTGTTCTCATCGAGCAGCAACACCGTTTCTGTCTGGCCTTTTTGATCAGGCGCGCGCTTAAGACTGCATATTTTTGATGTCTTGCCACACAATTTAGCCGCGATGGGCGGCTGAGCCCGGATCGACCAACCTTCCAACAACGTCAACGGACAATTGATGTTGGATTCCAATTTCTAGACTATAGGATAACAGCGGCATAGCATCTCCCCTATCTGACCCAGGGTCCCCAAAGCATCGTGACTAGAGTCACTACGTGCGTAACTGAGGAGTCCTTTCATCACCACCAATCTCCCTTCCAATATTCGAGCTCTCGCTCTTTCTAGTATAACAGGCCGACACTACTGTTCGCTCTATGGTCCGGTGCCAAGTGTTTGGAACTCTGCAAACTATCGCGGCTATCTGATGATGATCAGTGAGTCAACAATCTCGATATCGTGATGAACAGGCGGCAGACTAAATACCGGTGCGGCACCTGAATGAACTTCGACACCACAGCGAGAGCCGGCATGAACCGAAGACCGAGGCGGGATACGAAGCAGTGATGACGTCTGGATCAGATCCAAATTACAAGAGAAAGAGCCTGGAATATTGGGCGTTAGCGAATGGGAATCCGAGGAACGACACTTCATTGACACCCCACAAGCGACCGGCGCGACTACGTGGTACGCTGACCCAGCACTACAATTGAATTCGCTCCACAACACTTGAGCATCTTGCTGGATACCAATCGCTTGGAGAAGCTCTCGTTCAAAAGTTCACGCCCATACATCCAGACGGCCGAGCGCGGGAGAGCTTCAAAGCATGCACTGCTTCTGACGATTTCCTGTGACCGATCAGTACAGTCGGTACGTTACAGTCTTAGAGACGAGGATGACATGTGTGAGCCATACAATTCGAGTTTGGCCTGAGGATTGAGGATCATGTTCATTAAGATCTACGTCGATGTGATAAGTCAGTGCTGCATCTTGACCCACAGATGGAAATGCACGTACCCAGAGGACGTGTTGCGTAAGCTGTTTATCGAAGGAACTGCTCCGCGAGATCTAGTCACAAAAATCTTTCGTGCCCTGCCTTCAGGCTTCAGTTGGACGAAAGCGACTCATCACGATGACGGGCCGGGTCTTCGGCGTGATTCCATTTGTACACGCGCACAGACAGGTGGCATCAATGTGGCATCTGCAATGATATGATCTTCTCATAGTTGCCAAGGGAAAGCCCAATTACGTGCATCTTCAGGAGCGTATTAACAAGAAAGACTGGACCGGAGTATCGAGGTACACCAGCAACGGCATCAAGGCCGAAGCCCGAGAGTCTCGTACGTGTGCGGAAGAACAACGAGGTAGTGCTGTCTGGTATTTTCTCACTACAGTGTCACAAATCATGCCTCCCGCACCACATAGTCGCATTGGCAGTGTAACAGACCAGGTCCTCGTCTGTATAGTTGTCAAACGATGCAGAGGAAAAAGCACTTTACTCTCAATTGCAGGCAGTGAACTTTTCATCATTTTGATGGGGCGAGACTTGCTGTAAAAGCTGGTATATCTCTGGATACTAAAGTAGAGAAGGCATGGTAGAGAAGTCACCGGGGTTGATGATCCTATAAGGCTCTGATCAATCTCAAAAATCTCGCAAGTACAAGTACGACAAAGACCTGTTTGTGGCTACCTGCCTGTCCTAGGAGACCGGTCTAGTTGCGGAAGTCCATTGACTTGTATCCCTCCTTGCCTTGCGTGAAACTTGAGATCTCTCAAGCTATCCCATTTCTCTTTCGTTCCAGAAGCAACAAGTGATGCCAGAGCCAGAGGGATGACGGATGAGTCGAGAGAACTTTGGGAAATGATGTGGAAGTAGTAGACTCACTGACCTGATCAAGGGCTGCTACTACCCTCCATTCTGCTTTTTTTTTCATGATATATCAGGTATTGAAGAAGTGACGCTTGTATTGCAGTCGCTCTCCGCAAACCCGACGCAGCATGTTTTCGCTTCTCCTCGAAAAGCTGGCCTGGGTTGTTCATCTCGCGAGCCAAGTCAAGAGATATCTGACGATGAAAGTTTCTCTCAGAGGAAAAAGACTGGGATAACCATGGAACGGTTTTTGGCGGAAGAAAATGGTAAGTGCAGTCAGTCTATTCAATTTTGAATACTTCCTTGCAAAGTTTAAACATCGCTAATCGAGACTCCAGTCCTTGACGCCTGGTCAGTATACTCTAGTCTTCGTCCCTGACAGGCAATATTTCTTATGCTGCGCCTCCTAAGATCGGACTCGCTTCTTGTCATATAAGCGCCCATTTCGCTCTCTCTGTAGCAATGAACGCTTCGCCGACGAAAGCGTGAGTGAGATGCTGGTTCTCAGAATGCAACGCGTCACTTCAATATGGCATGCCATTCATTACGCCTATCCTTGATTGAGTGTTGTGTGAAGTAAACAGCAGGAGAGTGGCTAGGTCACTGATACACAGCTGTGGTCACATGTATCTTAGAGTCGGAGTACCTAAGAGACAACCACTAAATTACCAACGAGATGCTGCAGAAGCTTGTGTGTGCAGTGGAGACGAAATCAGAACAAGATGAAGTTCCTTGACCTGATTGATATGTCTATGGAATAGGGAAGAAGATAAAATATAGCATACGAAACAAATGCAACAACCCATGAGAACTGCTCTTAGTCGGGAGTACAAAGGGTATACAACGAAGACGCTTTTGAAGATTCGATTACTAGATAGACCGCGATTCGATCCACATCCCGTACTTCCAGACGACAAGTACGAGCTATGTTTGTGGAGACACCGATGTCAAATGGATACTTCTCGCTCAATTGAGAGATTGTGCTGTTCCTAACGATGACATGATATTTACTAACCATCTCTTTCTACATCACACTAGGCCCCCAACTTCTATCCAACAAGATACAGTTACCACCATCTCATCAAAAACAGTCAAAGATACAAGGTAAACAGAGCGAGAAAAAAGACAGTGAGGGAAAACAAGCACGCAAGTCACTGATCCTTGTCTCAATGATGACAATGTCCTTCCCGTCTCGTTCCAGAACTAGATCTAATCTTTGCCACCTCACGGATCTGGGACTAAGTAACCAGATATTGAGATGTAGTGAACTAGACCCCCTTCTTCTCCCTCATTGTTCTTGCTAATCGCCTTCCGACTCGATTTTTGAGGAATGAGGTTAAGCACATATGTGTTAATGGTAGTTTCGTTCCAAGGTGTGGAAAAGAGAAAACTCAACGATAGAGGACAGAGCTCCTCTTTTGTAGGCAACTCGGCAAGCGACATGTGAGACGGATAGCGATAGTAAAGCAAGTGGGAGAGTATGGAAAAAGACAGCTAGCTCGATGTCTAAAGTCTGGTACTGCGATGCTGTATAACATTTGATGGTTATGCTGTGTGCCTGAGTTTACTATGCCTATAACAAAAAAAAAAGATGCGTGCTTTGCTCTTCACCATAAAAAAAGGGGGCCCTATCCCAATTACAAAAAAAGAACCAAATCCAAAACTCCTATAAAAAAAAAGAACCTTACTCTTTCTTTCCAAGAACAACAATGCTAAAAATTCGATCTAATGCATGATACTCTGTCTCCATCGATCAATCAAATCGCGTTGCGCAACAATATTGGGGTCATGCATACCACCAGCCGTCTGCATCTGTGCCATATGTGCGTATGCCTGTTGCTGCTGCATGGGCATCATCTGCTGCGGCATCTGCATCTGCATCTGCATCTGCCCATATCCAGGATACGCAGGTGCACCGCCAAACATCATGTTTCCATACTGAGCAGTGGGCTGCAAGAAAGCAGGCGGCTGAGCAAAGCCATAGCCGGGCATACCTCCGGCAGCCATATGCGCAGGATACATCATGGGAGCTTGTTGCGGTTGCAGTGTTTGCGGGTTGAAGTATTGGGGTACTGCGCCGGTGGATCTGGAGGTGAGGAGTGGAGGTGCGGGTTGAGGGGCGAGGTGTTGGGGCATGCCGCTGGTGAGACGGTTGTAGGAGCTTGTGCGATTGCGCTCGCGGAGTTTNNTTCTTCTTGCTTCCTCTTCGGCGCGGGCGGCGTCGGCGAGGAGGGAGTTGACTGCGGGTACATTGGCGGAGCGAGGACCGCCGGGAGAAGAGACTGGGTGGGCGGCGAGCAGGTTCGCAAGAGACGAAGAGGAGCGGAGGAGAGGGGGACGGACGGTGCGGACGGAAGGTGGGTCTGACGCATCTCCTCGTTTGGCTTCTGCTTCGCGCTCACGTTGCAAGCGTGCACGTCGTTGTCCCAATGTCTCTTCCTCGGGTTCCGGACTAACGACTTTCATGCCTGTTATGCCGCCAAATGTGCTGAGAATGTCTTCGGAGAAGGCGGTGGACTTGCGTTTGTCGGCTTCTGCAACATCGCCCAATGCTGCATTGAGCATCTGCTTCTGCTTGAGGCGACGTAGACGCTGTCCTAGCGGCTCATTGACATCTGCATCATCATTCGAGTCTTCATCCGGCAATGGGACTGCTTCAGGTCTTGGCAGAGCGGCTTCCCGGCGCTGTCTCTCTATTTCTTGACGCTGCCTTTCCATTTCCTGGCGGATCTGACGCGCCTCGGATGCGGGTACACCCTTGAGACGGAAGCGACGACTGCTCAGCGGTTCATTGTCTTCATACTCGCGCTTCTCCATCAATCCTAATGGACGGTCCCAGTCTTCCTCGACGTTCTTGCCTCTGTTGATCAAACCACCCTTCGTGGGGTATAAGACACCGAGTGGGACATCTTCATCTTCTTCATCCTCATCAGCGCCAGGATCTTCCCATGCGAGCTTGGCACGTCCATGTTTCTGTTTCTTGTTCTTCTCCACCTGTTTGACGGCGTCCATTTGAAGCAGAGTACTATGCATGCCGTCAGGGAAGGCATCCGCAGCAGCACGATTGCGAGACTTTTGGTGAGCCTTTCGAGCCTGCAGTTCAGCCAGCAAAGTAGTGGGCTGAGCGAAGAAGGGCATCTTCATATCCTGTTCGTCGTTGTAGATGCTCTCTCTGTCTCCTGCAACTTCTTCGGCAGCCGCTTGCGTATATTCTTCTTGAGGTGATGGCTCGGCCGGCTCCTCAATGTCGAGATTTCCAAAGTGCACACTGGCGGGTCGTGATTTGGCGAATTCAGTAGCTGTGTCTTCACCACCGTCGTTCATATCCAGATCAGTCATCAGACTCATCTTGCTGTTTCTCTTCTTCAATTTCTTGCCTTCAGATCTACCACCAAAGTCAGTCAGGACAGTCATCACGCTGTTGCGCTTGACCATAGGGGGCTTCTCGATCGTGCCAGCGCTGATTGTTCTATCATGTCCCTTCTTCTCTGCGTTCTCGTCCATAAACATGTCAAGCTTGGATAGAGTTGCGCTACGACGATTCATCGGACGTTCCTGAGCATAGATGTCTTGTCCGCCAGGCCCAGCGAATGGATGATCGGTAAATACATTGACCGGAGCATTGACTGACGCAGCTAGAATGCTGTCTAGAGTAGCAACAGCCGATGCTGACTGAATCTGAACCTCGGTAGGTGATCTTTGTCCTTCATTATCGAAGAAGACAGATGCTCTCAGTTGAGGAGGCAGATTAGCGGTGCTCATGCGGCTGGTTTGGAGGTCCATCATGCTTCGTCTCTGTTGGTTCAGTTGGGGAGAAGAGGGGCCGGATTGTGGAGCACCTTCTTCGGCCTCTTCCTCGGGCAGGTCCAGAGGAGGTAGCCAAGGGGCACTCTGCCGTGAAGCAAGAGGCATGGCACTCAAGACCTGAGAGCGACGCTGAGCTTGCTGGTTGGCTGACGGCAGTTGGGACAGTCGCTTGGGCAGATTCAACATGCGTGGTACGGGAGCTGGGTAATAGACCATGCCCTCATTCGGCGGAGGCTGTGCGTAGGACATGGGGCGGGCATATGACATGGGGCGGGGTTGGCGAGACATGCGCGACATTCGTTGCTGCAAACCACTCGGGCCTTCTTCCTCGTTAGTCGGCGAGTAATGTACACCGTCAAAGTCCTTGAAGAGTGAGCGGGCATCACGGAAAGTGTCAGCAGTTGGCGGACGGTCCGGGGGATTTTGGACAAAGTCGTTGTATCCATCTTGGTCGGCAGCCTGCTGGTATAAATCATGAGCTTCTTGCTGCCATTCCTCCTCCTGGCTAACTTTGTGCTGGTGAGAATATGTCTGCTGCTGGGGGAGCTGTCTATCGTCCTGCGAGTGGTGACTTGTATGGTCGGGTTGAGGATAGTGGCTCTGTTGGTCCGGCTGCGAGTAATGGCTCTGCTCATCTTGCTCGTCAAAGTGTTGTTGACCATCATGCGAATAGTGGCTCAGCTCGTCGAGGTCTGAGAGGCGTCTGCTCGCCTTGTCCCACTCTTGATGCTCCGGCTCAGGGGTCTTGTCGACGTCGTCGATGCGTCTTGCTTGTCCGTCGAGCAACTCGACATCTTCTACGGTGGGTGCAAGCGAGTAGTGTGAGGGTTGGCGACGCGGACTCGAGTAGCTCGTGGGCGAGGCCAGGGGCGAGTCCAGCGGACGGCCCTCCTGAACGGGCTCGGGCATGCCCGAGGGACGGTGGAAGCTGCTGACGCGCGAGACGGCGGGACTGGTGATGTATCCTCCGGGCGAGTAGCCTCCCCAGCGGGCGTGGGTGTTGACGTCGACAATCGAGTTTGCGTAGCTGGACGTCGAGTGGTTGCGGCTGCGGCTGCGGGTGCTGATGACTCTGTCGATGCTCGGCTGGCGGCCTTCACGTGGGCCTGACGGCGACTCAGAGGCGACCGAGATGCTGCTCGACCGTAATGAGGCCCGGTCCTGTTCCTGTTTCATCCTGCGAATCTCGTCGCCAATGTCGCTTCCCCCCTGGCTCATCTCTTCTGCCGACTGCTCCAGCCGCTCGACGTTCTTGATGTATGCGCCCTGCAGGCTCTCCAGGCCGGGCGACGGGTGTTGTAGCGATACTTGTTCAGCCGACGCCGTGCGCAACAGCGAGCCCCGTGGCGGTGCAGTAGACATGGCTGTGTACTTGCAGTACCATGTAGCACTCGGCCCTACTTGGTATAAGCAACCCACTTTTTACACTCGCACCATGCGTCTCTTGCTGAGTGGACGAGTCGTTAGGAAGAGGAGAAAAGAGGAGAACAGACGTCTGACACAGTCGCACAACCTTCGTTTGCTTGCACCCTTTCTCCAGACGACCAGCCCAAAAAGCAGCCACCCACACCCCTTGCAAGTTACAGACCCGCGTCCTTGCAAAAGCTTGGCTCTCCATGCACCTTCTTTTATTTTTAGCTGCTCAAGCCGCATTCCCCCAATTCCCTATCTGTTTCCATCTTCCCTACGGTGATAAGAAAACCATATTCCTCCCTACACTTGCTCTCGTCCACACCTCACTTCTCTTCATCTCACAGTATGCCATCCCCCCAGCCATCGTCACGTCGACGCCGTTGCAGAAACAACGTTTACAAAAGCAAGCATCCACCAAGGTAATCGGGGGCTTGCCCACGCGAGAAACAGCCACTATATCTTGGCGTACGCAGTTCCCATGCTCTTCCGATACACCTTTTTCTAGTGTCCAATCGCCAATCCTTGCTGCTGTTGTCTGCACAAGATAAGTAGCCGACGGCAGTCTTGCAGTCCGAGATAAGCTGCTTTCTAGACGACTGCTGTACTCGAGGTTAAAGTCGCTGTTTCGTGGTCTTCGTTGAGGGCTTCTGAAATGTCATGTTTGAGCTATGTATGCTATTCCACCGGAATGAAGAGCTGAAACCGTGTAGGCAGAGTAACATAGCTTAATATTGCTTGCTTCGAGGAATGAGGGTGCGATAAGTATCTTGAGCCTTGATAATCCTTGCACTGTATATCCTGCCTATCTCGGCTCTCCTTATTTCCCACACGAACATGAGTCTCGACCGGTCATGGCATTTGATAGATAAATATTCACATTTGTCTAGCTTCGGTAAGATGATTTAGAAAAGGGACTACTCAAGATTGAGTCTTCACCCGTGAACTCGAAGGATGCCTAGGACCCGCGATCCTGGAGTTCTTCTTCTGCTCGTCAAGCGAACTAAAAATCCAACAAAGGCAACCATCAGAGAAACAGACAATAGGGCAAGGGAAACCCCGCCAAGCGTACTGGCAGCGCCCTTTTCATCTTCAGTACCAGTGCAGCGACCAGTATAGTTTCCATTCATTGCTTGTGTTGTGTTGGAAGGGTTGCAAGTCAAGTTCGCGGCGCTTTCTCTGTCGGTCACAACCTCGTGGATAACACCCGCAAGCCCGTCTCCATACTTGACACCTTCCAGTGTGCATGCCGTTACAGTTTGTCCTTCCAGATCGTTTCCTTGACAGCCAGAGAGTCTACCTGTGGTGCATATGGTGTTGGGAGTGAAGGCCACATAAGCATTTGTGCCATTGGCGATCGACCAGGCACCACGGTTGGTAGCCACTGGGTATGTTTGGGTCTCGTTGAAGGGGAGGTTGACGACTTTGGAGATGGTCTCGAAGACGGAGTTTCTTGAAGCTTGATCTGAGATATTCAAGGTGCGGCCTTCAGTGACATAGCCACCAATGTTGAGTGAACAGTTTTGCGTAGAGGGACATACAACACCCTCGCTGATGATGTAGGAGCGACTACTGAGGGAGGTGTATGTCAGATCAGAATAGTTGGTGGTGACGTTGAAACCAGAGCAGGACTGTGCTAGAGCTTGTTGACATGAAGCCAGCACGAGGGCGGAGAGGACTGAGACTGTATACATGGTGAATGATGAGGTATACAAATTCAGCTTGGAGACGAAAATAGTTTGGAGGGATTGAGCAGACGAAGGCATGGCTGTTTATATGTCATGTCGACCAGGCTGTGAAAAAGCTGGGCATATGCGACGTGACGGCCCATGGCTTGGAAACAACAACGACAGGATGGTCGATCGCACCGATGTAGCAAGAAATCGAGGTTTGTATTCCTTCGCAACCATTTCCATACGTTGTTGTTGGTAACGCCGAGCAAAGCCAAGTGTATAGTGAATCCTTTGCGACTAAGCTTGGTAGTTGTATAGGACGATCGTTCACGCTTATTAGGGGTCACGGGATGTCCAATTCGACAGTTGCAGAACCTACGAGGAGCTTTTGTTGTCTCAATGTCGTGTTGCTTTATCCAATACTGCTCAATGCCCTCGGAACAAGAATCTACAGTAGGTCGAGGACAGTCGTACATTACAGCGACTATATCGTGTGGACTGAGACGTGCATAAGGTGGCTTGTTCCTCTAAGAAATATGAGCCGCCTGGGAGACTTTGCAGTGCAGTGACAGTCCTGAAAGTGGAAAATCGGCAGTGAGAACTAATCAATTGTACATAGACAGGGACATGCAATCGTTGGACAGAGAAGATGGTGATGAAGAGTAAGATGGTAAGTAAAGTTGTGAGCGTTTGAGTGATTGTCAAATGCAGACGTCTGATTGGCCGACGACGCGGAAGCCGAATCTTGGATGTCATGAGTTTGGCCACCACTCCAGCGCACCTCGACCCACGCCTCCCATAGCCCATCTCGTAGGGACCACCTATCCATCTCTACACACACCCGCAACATGTCGCGCGCCACGTCAGCAATCACATCGGCGGCATCGCACCGTGTCGTGCCCTCGGCCAACGCCACCACCTCGAGACTGACCACCTCCGCCCGTGGTCTCGCAACTGTCCAGGACGCTCCTCCAGTCCAGCACAAGCGTGGTCTCCAGGACCAGGACCGCATCTTCCAGAACCTTTACGGCCATCATGGAGCCGACCTCAAGAGCGCCATGAAGTACGGTGACTGGCACAAGACCAAGGAGATCATCAACAAGGGCCACGACTGGGTATGCATTGCCTCTCGCAGCTAGTCAATTGCAACTCCGCTGACACTCCCGCAACAGATCATCTCAGAAATCAAGGCCTCTGGTCTCCGTGGCCGTGGTGGAGCTGGTTTCCCTTCTGGTATGAAGTGGTCTTTCATGAACTTCAAGGACTGGGACAAGGACACCAAGCCCCGCTACCTGGTCGTCAACGCCGATGAGGGTGAGCCCGGAACTTGCAAGGACCGTGAAATTATGCGCAAGGACCCCCACAAGCTGCTCGAAGGATGTCTGGTTGCTGGTCGTGCCATGAACTGCACCGCCGCCTACATCTACATTCGTGGTGAATTTTACCACGAGGCCACTGTCCTCCAGCGCGCCATTCAGGAGGCCTACCAAGCTGGTCTCATCGGAAAGAACGCATGTGGCTCCGGCTACGACTTCGACATTTACATCCACCGTGGTATGGGTGCCTACGTCTGTGGTGAGGAGACCTCCCTCATCGAGTCGCTTGAGGGCAAGCCCGGCAAGCCCCGCCTGAAGCCCCCATTCCCTGCTGCCGTCGGTCTTTTCGGTTGCCCTTCGACCGTCGCCAACGTCGAGACCATTGCGGTTGCACCCACCATCATCCGCCGTGGTGGCAGTTGGTTCAACTCGTTCGGCCGTGAGCGTAACGCTGGTACCAAGCTCTTCTGTATCTCTGGTCACGTCAACAACCCCTGTACCGTCGAGGAGGAGATGTCCATCCCTCTTCGTGAGCTGATTGACAAGCACTGCGGTGGTGTCATCGGTGGCTGGGACAACCTCAAGGCCGTCATCCCTGGTGGTTCCTCCACTCCCATCCTTCCCAAGAAGGTTTGCGACGACCAACTCATGGACTTCGATGCCCTCAAGGACTCACAGTCTGGTCTCGGTACGGCCGCCGTCATTGTCATGGACCAGAGCACCGATGTTGTTCGCGCCATTGCCCGTCTCTCCAAGTTCTACCACCACGAGTCCTGCGGTCAGTGTACCCCCTGCCGCGAGGGTTCCAAGTGGACCGAGCAGATCATGCACCGTTTCGAGAAGGGCCAGGCCCGCGCTCGCGAGATTGACATGATGCAAGAGCTCACCAAGCAGGTCGAGGGCCACACCATTTGCGCTCTGGGCGAGGCCTTTGCCTGGCCTATCCAGGGTCTGATCCGCCACTTCCGCCCCGAGCTCGAGGCCCGCATCCAGGACCACGCAAAGACACAGGGTGGTGAGGCACTTGCTGGTGGCTGGCACCACAACTCTCACAAGGATGGTCTGCTTGTCTCTCCCGGCCAGTAGATTTTGTCCTCTTGTGATTGTGTAAATATTCAGTTGCGTCTCTTTTCCTTGTTTGTCTAACGTGAGTACCAATGTGTAACAATGGCGTTCTTTTTTGTTTAGCTCTCTAGTTTTTACATATCTTTTCTTTCTTTTTGGGAAGCTAGAAAAATGCAGATAACCTTTTCCACCCAAATCGTCCATGTTCTTGTTCCTTCGTGAGATTGCATTGTTGGAGATATACCTAGTCCTGTGGCAATAGAAACATTGTCTTTGCCTCCTTGTCCTGACATCTGATGTTGGGAAAGATTGCGCATCCTTAAAGCTTACAATGTTGGTACTGTGTGGTTTCGAGAGAAGGCAAGACATTCGAGAATGCGATGGTCTCTGGCGAGGAAAGAGAACGGTCATGTTTGTTAGGAACACACTTCAATTCTTTCAGGCTCATCGTTCATTTTTTGTTTCAAGTTATGCCTTGAATCTTGAGCACTTACGATGAAAAGGACGAATGAAACACGAGAGGGGCACTATAGCAGTCTACGCTGTCTTCAAGCGATACAGAGAACATTGGGGACAAGGTTTGTGCCAGCCCCTCTTGGAGTCTACCGGTGTTTTGTATGAGGGCGACGCTTATCTCGAACTCTGTGTTCTCAGGGTATGCATTTGTACCGGGGAGTTCGATATCGACATACTTTGGTAAATGAAAAGAAATGTTGACCTTGCTCTGGTATGAAGTATCGTGTACATATACGAATGGGACTTCAGGACCTGAGTCGCTAGCAGTTCGTGGCTCAAAGACCGTGATCCTGCCTGCGTGATGATTTATACATGACCGTCCTCTCACATAATTGCCATATCTTTTTGCGTGTGTCTGCGAGTTCCATGAAACGATCATCTATATCAGGTGTGTAAAATTGCAAACAGAGTTGGTATTTCGGAAAAGTAGCATAATTGAGCGCCGTGTGAGAGAAAATGTGCAACAGAGGAAGAAGGTGCGGAGCGGACGAGGCTGGGTGGTAATTGGTAGCTGGAATCTAGTGCAAGTTCTTCTCGACCTGTGGTGTTTGTATGTCAGTCTTGGCTCTTCTTTCAGATCTAGTATGGAAATTGACACACTCTCCATCCATTGCTGTATTCGAAGCCAGCGGGGGCAATGGGGCGGTCGACTTGGCCTCTGAGCCAGCCGGTCAGGCGACGGTCGCGGTCCATCACTGCAGGAGAGGGTCAGCGTCTTGAAGNGCATTGGGCTGTCGCAAGGTCCGAGGAAAGCGCACTTTGTCTGTCCCACTGGTCGACCGAGTGTCTGGCACGCTTGCCGCCGTTCTGGATGTTTCTGATCTTGGAGAGGCCGGCGCCAGTGATGCCGAAGAANNCTGCGCAAGGAGAGTGTAAGTCATGTGCTGGAGACATTTAAGGGCGGTAGGGCACGCGTACGGCAAGACAGATGCCGTAAGGCAGCAGAGCTTCGAATGGAACACCCATGGCTGTGTATGGTCTATGTCTGGCACCCTCGTCGTCGATAGCGGTAGACAGTTGATGATGACCAGCTACGTCTTGGCATTGGAGACGCGAGTTTGGCCGGAGATCAAGCGCAGAAACGGCAACTGCGCCTGGGAGAGCTGCGACTTCTCCACATGCTCGGCCCAGAGCACAACAAGAAGCCTCCAGCTGCACGACAAATAATCCAACATCAATTCGACCACACCATCTGTCACCCTACACTCGCCAGTTCTGTTGTCGCTGTATCTCAAACTGTCAAAGCAGTCGCTCGTCGCGTCGGCGGAACACCCTCCCTGCCGTCTACCTCGTCGCCGCGTCGACCTCAGCCTCCCCGTCCAAGCTTCACCACCCACTCCACGTTGCCCACACGTTGCACCAATACCGCGTATTTACGTGTCCTCTACATCCCAGAGCATCAGAGACCTCCCCAGCCGTCTACACCAGCTCGAAAGACACCCCTACCGTTACCGTACCTACTTGCGACTACTCTTCGACCTGGACGCCAAGGCTTCAAGAGCACACCTCCTTGCGACCTCTCTATGCGCTCTACAGACAGAGTCTAGACGTGCTTGGCTCTGAGGGACCGCTGTGAGATTCGCCCACACGACCATTCACGTACCTTCACGTAATTCGGTCATCTCCAAAATATCCACACCACTATGCGCAGCAGTAGTATCGACGCAGAAGGCGAGGAGGATGATCTCGACATGCCCGAAACCCAGTCGCCTAGCCTGATGAATGATGTTGAAGACCAAGACGACGAAGATGAGGAAGACGAAGACGCCGATGCGGACCAGGACGACGACGAGAGCGAAATTGTCGGTGCTGTAAAAAGAGCCCCTACAAGGAGGAGCAGGACATCAAGAGCTAGGAAAAGTCGCGATATGGAGACGAGCGAGGACGACGATTCTGCATCCGATGGCGACAACGATTCCGACTCGTCTGACGAATCTGCTGCCACTCAGGCTCCATGGGAAAAGGAGAGCGACACTGCCCAGGAACAAGACCAAGACGTTGTGACAGACTCGACCTGCGTGTATGTCGCCATGCTGAATTGCTTGCTTGCTTGCTGACAGATTGCTAATTTTGGCTTGGCAGGTATTGCGGACAAGACGAAGAAAATGATCCGAGCGACGAATATGAAGAATATCTCGAATGCGGTCATTGCGGGGATCATGGTAAGCTTTGGTTTTTATATCGTTCAGGGTCCGTGTTCGCTGACTTGAGGCCTGCAGCTCACAAGCAGTGTGCCAGAAACGCTAATTCGCTTAGCTCCGATCAAGGTACGTGACTTGCATACCCAAATATCTCCCCCTGCTAACATGTGTCAATAATTGCAGACAAGGATCCTCAGACCTGGCTATGTCACGACTGTGTAGAGAATGGCTTCCATCTCCAACAAGACGTCGACAGGATGACCATCAACGATGGCTCTCAGCGTCGGTCATCTGTTCCCAAGTTAGCCCGTGATCTCTTGCCTGCTGCTCGTGGTGGAATCAAACCAAACTCACACTCGGTCTTCAACAATCTCATACTCGACGATGATCCGATGGATGGTTCTCGCTCACTTAGGAAACGCAAGAATTCTTCCATCGAGGCCGACGAGCCAACGCCAAGAGCAGCATCACGGAAAAGGAGGCGATCGACCGCATCGGACAGTCAAATTAACATCAATGTGACGCCGAGGGATGCTGTGAAGGAACAGACGGCGGCAACGCGAAGCAGTGGCTCGGCGGAAAGTGAAAAGTCTTCCAACACGCGCTCAACTCGACTTCGTAAACAGCCTCAGTCAAGCACAAACGCAAGGATCATTTTCGAAGAAACAATCGACGACAATTCGAAAAGTCTAGTTGTTGCCATTCCCATCAGTGCCGCCGCCCTCGAAAACATTGAGCGCAACGCACAAAGAAAGGCTCGAAGGCGTGAGCGGGACAGAGCACGTCGAGCACTAATGGGTGGTCGCAAGAAGAAGACTGGCGCCCACGGCGATGTGCACGAAGTAGTCGAGACAGTCTCATCGCACTACCCTGCGGTCGCCACAACTCTATACGACAATCCCTACTACCCCTTTCCTGACCGTGAACTCGACACAGTGCAGGGCAAACCCTTTGGTGGTATTCTCACTGACGCCGAGGCCGACACAACCAAGACGTTTCCTCAGCAACCTGACCGTGATCTCTTCGAAGAGTCACGCCGCCAGGCCGAAGAAGCAAGGAAAGCCGAACAAGAAGCCAATCCCATCGAACTGCCATCCCGAGCAAAACCGTCCGGCGGACTACCTACTAAAATTAAGTACATCCACTTTGGCGGCTGGGAAATCGAAACACTGCATGCCGCGCCCTACCCGGAAGAGTACAATCGCAATCCGGTCCTATGCATCTGCGAGTTCTGTCTCAAATACATGAGCTCGTCCTATGTGGCTTTCCGACACAAGCTCAAATGTCCACACAAACACCCTCCTGGCGATGAGATATACCGCGACGATATCATTGACGCTGACGGTAACAAGAAAAGCATCTCCTTCTTCGAGGTTGATGGTCGCCGCAGTCCTCTTTACTGTCAAAACCTATGTCTTTTGGCCAAGCTGTTCCTTGGTTCGAAGACCCTCTACTATGATGTTGAACCTTTCCTTTTCTATGTCATGACAGAGAATGACGAGTATGGTTGCCACTTTGTCGGCTACTTTTCCAAGGAGAAGAGGGACTGGTCGCCACCCCTTGACCCTCGTGCTTCCATCGAGATTGGCGCTGATCCACTCACAAATGGTGTGCAAGCCAAGGCAGGCGCCAATGCTAATGATCCGCCAGGCAACAATGTCTCTTGCATTCTGGTATTTCCAGTTCACCAGCGGCATGGATTTGGTCGTACTTTGATCGAATTCTCCTACCTACTGACTCGTGTCGAGGGTAGAACAGGCTCTCCCGAAAAGCCACTCTCCGACTTGGGTCTTGTCTCTTATCGCTCATACTGGCGTGGTGTCATGTGCAGGTTGCTGCTCGGCTACAAGGAAGCGCCCAGAGGCTCATACGACATATCCTTCTCAAGCATGGCTCGTGCTACAGGCATGACTGTTGACGATGTGATCTCATCACTCGAGGCGCTTCGTGCTATCGTCAAAGATCCCTCTACGAACAAGTATGCCCTTCGCTGTGACTGGGCATACATGGCAGAATACTTGGACAAGCACGACAAGAAACGTCACATCAAGATTGATCCTGCGAAACTCATCTGGACGCCTTATGTAATGGGTAAGCCTACGAGCTATTTCCCTGTTGGCGAGGAAGCCACTGGCCCTATTCAAACCAAGGCTCGTCGCGATGAGCCTGAAGATTTGCAGGCCGTACAACCTGAAGAGGGCGTACAGCAAGCTCAAGTCAATGGCAATTCAACCCCTGATCCAGAAGCTGTCAATGGCGACAATATCTCTCCCAAGGCTACCCGCAAGGTTCCTCCCTCTACTTTAACGCCTCAACCTTCTATCACCAAAGGGTCGCCTCGGCGCTCACCTCGCAACTCTCAGTCACAACCTCAAGCCGAGCAGAGTCAGCAGATTAACGGTACAAGTCAAGAAGACCCAGCCTCGCAGAACGACACTTCAGACACTTCGTCAGTCAGACGTGGATCCGCATACACAGAGGACAGCATCCCTGCCTCGCGGTTCGAGATCTTCCCACCTATCCCTGGCCAGGTCACAAAACGCAAGCCCGGTAGACCCATGGGCAGCCGCACTCGCTCCAAACTCACACCTTCCGCCAACAGACGCGCTGGAAGTATAGAAGAAATCACCCCCTTNCCCACAACTACACCCCGCGGCCGCCCCACCAACACGACTCGCCGCGCCCGCAGCAAACTCGACGAAATGGAAGTCGCGCCCTCGCCCTCCGAAGACGAGATCCAGCGACAGATATCCTCTGAACACGAGCGTGCAGCGTTGGAAGAAGTAGTCGACAAGAACAATGGCGCAGCATTTACGCGACCAAAGTTTATGGGAAAACTCAATGTGCCTGAACATGCTGTTGAGGACGACGACGAGGACGAAGATGCCGAAGGCGAGGATGTGGAGATGGGAGAGGTCGGGGTTGGGACTGGATATGATGGCGTGGGAAGCGTGAACGCGTTGCCACAAGGAAGTAGCTACGGTGCAGGCGAGAATGGTGACGAAGAGGATGATGAAGACGCAGACGCCGATGGGGATAGCGATGATGAGATGCCGGACGCTTAGTTTTGATCCGGCGAACGGCAGTGATGGGTAATCAAGGATCGAGTGTGATCGAGAGCTTGCCAGTACTCACCTCTTTGTCTTTGGTGTTGTTTCTTGGGGGTTTCTGAGCAAAAGGCGTTTTTTCGGGGATGCGGACGATACCATGGGAGCAATTTTTTTCTTCTTCTTTCTTGACGGATGCTTTCCAGACATCTGGTTCTTTTATTACTCATGTACTTTTATACGCATCGATACCAAGAAGTGTTTTTCTTGTTGAATCACAGTCTTGTTTTGTTCATCTGACATTTGATATTTGGGAAATGAGTGTTGCAACCATGATTGTCACGACCGAAATACACTGCTCGATCTTCGCTTGCTTGGTTGCATGATTATCAATATATTTCGTGCAAGCCTTTTATAATAAAGATGTAGAATATTTATTCTTACATGTAGAGAATCTGTTAGGTTGGGCTATGTGTGCTATGGAATGCAAAAGGAAAGGAGATTTACGATCAAGTCACAGAGACAAATAGCTACATGTAGCAAGTAGCAATGTAAAGCAATATATATATTGATCTTCGTTTGGCATATTATTTCTCTAATCAGGTCAGATTTTCGGTCGATACACTCATTTCCCTTTGGCATTTACCTTTTGAACTGACAGAAAAAAAGGCAGATCTAATGCTGTCCCATACATATAGTCTGTTGACTTTTGCATCTACACATTACTCCTTGTCAGCTTTTTCATCGAATCACTTGGATCAATCTCCGAAGCTGTATGGTTCTCTGTGGCAAGGCCAATGGTCCAACCGCTCCCAGTTTGCTTTTGGAACAGGGTGTCGGAGTCTGGCATGGTTGTTGAATGGATACGAATGAAGCAGCAGGGTGTCGCCAGCTCGGCAAGTGTGATGATTCACGAGTTTCGAGCATCTCACTCAGACGTGTATGAAAAAATTCATGCCAATGGCTTTAGTTTTGGGAGATGCATGTTTATGCATAGCAAAAAAGGAAAAAGAAAAAGAGAAGAAAAAAAAAGGCAGAGAACCTCAATTCTTGCCATCCAAACTCTTTCTCCCCGTCAACACACCCCCGGACCCATCTTGCCTTCTCTGTCTTCTGCGTCCCGCAACCTCGTTGGCCCATTCTTGGATCTGGAACACCCAGCCACCGGCAACCAACACACCACTAACCACATTGACCAATCTGACCAACAAGTTCAACACGCCACCCCATTCTTCGGCAATGGTCAGCATCAAAGGCTCAATGTCGAATTTGACAAAGATGCCGGGGACCTGGCGCTCAGAGACGATGTGGGATTGCTCGGTGACGGCGTATTGGTTGGTGAAGATGGTGTTGCGAGGAAGGTAGGGTTGGGGGACAGAGTCGTCGCCGGAAGACAGGGGTACAGCGGCGTCTGCGTACTTTTGCAGGGCGGAAGGGTTGTCCGTATACACGGTCGGCACCACAGAAAGATAATACTGGAACTTTTCAAAATGCTGGTCGGTGGTTGTGCGCGTGTTGTCGAGCGGGTTATCCAAGCCAGGGTAGAAAGGACCAAAACTCAATTCGTTGATCTGATGCGAGAAGTTGAAGGACTGGTGGTCGAGATGTTGGCCGAACTCCATGTAGCCATGGCCGCGGGCGGTGATGTGGAAGTCACCTTGGACTTTGTTGAGCTCGAGCTGGCCGTAGATACGGCAAGAGTCGGGCACGGCACCCCTACCCAAGCGCGGCGTCTTTGCAAACTTCTTCTTCTTGCGGGCGGCGCCGAGGTAATCGTGCACATCCTCCTCTTGATAGTCCGGACCGCCTCGTTCGGCAGCGCTGCCACCGAGATGGTGGGCGCCTTTTGTATTTTGCCAGTGCGACCAGAGGGTGGGGTTGCGGGAGAGGGCTTGCGAGGCCATGATGCGGTCGCCAGAGGCGTCTTGGACGTTGATGTGCAGGTCGTCGCACTTCATGGCGACAACGACGTCGAGGTTGAGTTGCAGGTTGTGGCTGATGCCCTTTTCCACGCTGAAGGTATGGTGGGTTTCGCCAACGTACCAGCGGCGCACCTCGGTCACTGCCAGCAGGAACGAGGCAAAGGCGAGGAAGAGCGTCCACACTCCTCCATTCTGCGTCTTGGTCGTGTACGAGGGCTTGGTCTTGGCTGCGCTGAGGTCAGTAGAGGGAGAGGAAGGAGAGGAGGTGGATGGTCACGTACGAAAGGCGTCAAAGGCCTTCACGACAGACGTCGCCTTGGACTCTCCAAAGGCTCCCTCGTCGAGCCCATGGTCGGAAAAGCCATTCATGGTCGAGTTCGGAACATGTCAGAGGTGAAAACAGAAGGCCACCTGTACCTGTCCCTGACATGTTTCACCCCACATTTCGGCTTCGGGCCATCGTTCTCACGATCCGCCTTCACCAACGGGGAAGGTCCATCAACATCTTGTCCCGACCTCGCTCTATTGACATCACCATCACTTATCTCTCAAGTGGGCCTGAAGAGATACAAACAGATAAGACCACCAAGATCGTCGTTCCAAGAATTTGTTTGGGTATAATTGCATCTCTGTCTCACCTTCAACTGAATCTCTCCTTGTCAACTACACTTGGCGATAAGAATCAAGACATGCTCGCCAATTCCCTCGTCATCGCCAGTGCTTTTTTGGCATCCAGCACGCTTGCCTGGAACAAAGGTATACAACGACCAATCCAATTGTTACATCAACATCATCTGACCCAATACCTAGATGTCCACCAACAGATCGGCTACAGTGCAGAGAAGCTCCTAACCAACACCACAAAGTCCATCCTCTACCAGATCCTCGAGCCTACATACAACAACAGCATTGGCCTCGCAGCAGCTTGGGCAGACGACTACGCTCACACCACCGAAGGCGCTTTTAGTTATCAATGGCATTGGATCGACTCTACAGACAACCCGCCACACTACTGTAATGTATACTACCATCGCGACTGCCCCAAAGGCGGCTGTGTGGTCTCTGCCATTGCAAACCAGACCAATATCCTCAAGACATGCATCAAAAGAGTCAAGAGTGGTGAATTGATGGGAGGGAATGATGTGCAGTGTTCGCAGGCGTTGAAGTGGGTTGTCCATTTCCTGGGCGATATCGCGCAGCCTTTGCATGCCTCTGGTGTTGCAGAAGGAGGAAATGGCATCGACGTCGTTTTTGCAAACAAGTCCACCGAGCTCCATGCTGTGAGTTTCTTGCCATGCTTCACTCTTTCATGTTTCGTACAGTTGTTGACGCTAGAACGGGACAGNGTCTGGGATGGCTATATCCCCTACGCCGACGCAAACGTCACCAGCTTCCCCAACAAAACCATCCAGCCCTTCTTCCAAACCCTCGTCTCTCGCATCCGCAAAGACGACTTTTCAATCCCGACGTCTGAGTGGATTGCTTGCAGCGATCCTTCCAGAGCTTTGGAGTGTGCACTCAATTGGGCTCGTGACAGCAATGCTCTGACTTGCGATTATGTCTACTCGCAGCCAACCAATGGCACAGATCTAGCCACCAGCGGCTATGCGACTGGCGCTTTTCCGATTGTCGAGTTGCAGATGAGTAAAGCGATTTTGAGATTGGGTACTTGGTTGAATAGGTTGGTGGCGGGTGGCCATGAGCGTGGAAATGGCGCCGGTTTGCAGACATGGTTGATGGGCTCCGAGTAGAGCGTTATATGGAAGGTTAGAGTTGGTTAGTGGATCAAACGCCTTGATGGTGGGTATCCTGTCGATGGTTGACAGAGAGTGTTGTATCATATCCTCTGAAAGAAGGGTTCCAAATGACATGTTGCTCATCATAAACATCAGCCAAGCACAGATACCGCGGCAAGCTGAATTTCGTGTCGTGACCACTTGCAATCTGGCTCTTCGACCAGTGTTGCAAGTTCAATTTCCATTCGGTGCATCATCCTCTTATGCCAGCACCACTACCTACACCACATCGCCACCATCGTTTTTGACGAAACGCGGTGGTCTGGCTCGTTCTTACGCCATCTCTTTGTTGGCACATCCCCGCTGGTCATCACAATATCCTGAAATCAAGTCTCTCATCGCACAGGATAGCCTGCAATCATTGACGCTCCTCGCGCCCCCAAGACTCGAAATGAGAGGGCAGATCACCGGTAGCTTTCTGCCCACGAGTTGGCTCTGTTGAGACCGAGGAGCGGTTGGCGGGAGGATTCTTTTTTTTTTTTTGCGGAGCCGTGATCCTTTATGAGGTGATTGAGCTGCTGGATTTGACGCGGTTATTTGTCAAGTATCGGAAGCCATGGAAGATCCTGGGAGGGCGATCGGATGGTAAGGCTGCTCCTCGCTACCTTTGATTGAAATGATGGTTGTTCGTCCCTTTCATGGTCTTGGTGGTTGGTTGTAGTAAATCTTCCCGAAAATCCCAGGGACAAATCTCATCTCTCATGCTTGTCGGCAGAATACACACTATCCAAAACACCATACCTCCCAGATATCTCCGAAGGCATGGAAATAGTCGCAATCACCTGATCATTCCAGTGCGAGTCTTTGCGTCTTTCCTTGGGTTTGGCCATTTCGATATCGATGACCTCGTAATCCTGGATTTTGGAAGGACCCGCGACTACCAGGGCTGGTGCCTCTCGCTGGGCCGCAACAGCAATTTGGCGCTCAACGTCTTCGGATGAGGATGAGGCTTTGCTGCTTAGCGCATCCATCCAGGTCTTGACGAGTGGTCGCAAGGTAGCCAGTGAGAGTGCAATGATGCCGATTCCTGCTTCTATGGCTGCGAGGATGACGACGCGAGGGAGTTTTGAGGTGGTGTTGAGTTGATATCTTCCGCCGCGGATAAAAGGGATCCGTGCGATGGAGACAATGCTACCCATAGCAGCCAGCGAAAGCAGCAAGACCACTGATATTTTCGCCGGTCGCGGCATTTTGGTTTTGAGGACCAGGCTTACAGTGGTTAGGACGAAGATCCAGTCTGTGAGTGCTGTCAGGGCGCCACTGAAGTAGCTGATGGGTCCCATGACCGAGTCCCAGTCTAGGCAGTTGCGGTGTACGAAAATGTTGGAGGGCACTCCGCATTGGAAGATGGTTATTAGGATGACCATTGTCATGACCAGGACATAGATAGTAATGGAGATTAGTATGGTGCGTTTCTGCCAAACCTCCTGGACCAGTCGAAGGAAGAATAGCGCAGCAGATGACTTGATAAATATCTCGGTTGCGTTCCAGACGGTTATGCCAACGATTGAGAGCTGCGGTCCATTAGCACTGGTATCAGATGACAAGGTCCGTAACAACGAACCTTNTGCAAGTTTCCGAGAGGCAGAGACGGTTTCAATACCATCAACAGCTTGTGTTGCGCCCATGAGGATCAAGGTAATGCAATTTCCGGTATACAGGAAAAATGCAAAACACAGAAGTCTGTCATCCCAGCCAAAAGACTTGATGAGAAAGCCTCGTACGTACACCCTCAAGGACAGCGCAATCCCCGTCAGCAGAAACATGACCGCCCCTACGACAATCGTAGATATTGGATCGAGTCCATACTCGTTGACGTCGGGGTGCATCTTCGACGACCGATGCACCACGACCTGCCCAAGAGCATCTGTCTGACAACGTGGAAAGAGAGGAAACGTGAGGTTCAGAGTAGAGAGCGGTTGAGGGGTGCGCGGCGAACGAAAAAGCTTAGTTGTGATTCTGCTAGAGGTCAAGGAAAATAAGGTTGCAAGGTGGAGTTCAGCTATTTGGCTGGAAGAATGATGCGATGCGGAGCCGGCATGGGCTCGGACCTTTTCAGTGGCACCTAGACCTCTATCAGATCTGTCATGGCTTGCTCTGGAGGATGGTTTGTTTTGCAAATACCAAAACGTTGCTATAGAGCAATTTGCACGAGCGATAGATGCATGAGTAAGATGTTCTTGCATCGAAAACAGCTTTGCTGCAAGTGGGGACAAGCCTCGAAACAGGCACCCGTTCATAACAGTTCCACGCGACGAAGATTGTTCCCCGAACAAATCCGATAAGCACTACGACGGGTTTATTCCCGTGCCTGTCACATCACAAGACACTTTCGTAGTGATGGTTGATAGCAAATGCAAGTCATTCGCTCTCCCAACTCGGTGCGACTTGTCCACCGGCTTCATGCCTCAGGAGACGACCCTGATGTTGCGTCCTTCCTGTCGTTCGCGCTGTCAGAGTTCTCAAGATGTTCTCAACGGGCGCGGGACGGGTCGGCCAAACGTGAGGGTGGACGTTCCGCTGCCTCGGTCTCAGGCTGTTGTCGACCATGACAAGCTAACGGCTAATTCGTTTGTCCTTTCAATAATGCTGATCTGCGGCATTTGTCTGTGTAGCAATCTGCCTTGGAGATCTACCTACTCGAAGAGCAACATACGCGAGACGAGTGCCTCGAAAGTACGGATACAGCCCCAAGCTTTCAGGTCAAGCTCTGAGGCTGAAATTCTGGTGGACAAGCACGAGACGAAGAAAGGAGCGTGCTGTGTTCGGCTCTCGGGTGCTCGACTGCAAGGAAGCTGCAGCAAGTACGAGCCTCAACAATGACTTTGTTCAGCTTTCGACTTGCGAGCGATTCGATAAACTAACCAGAGCATTTACCATCTCATGCGCTCTTGAAGAATGGTGAAGTGTAGTAAGAAGCCAGCGAATAATCGGGATGTGACAAGTTCTCAGGTTTTCAGTGCTCAAGTCTGCCATGCATACCACAATGCGTGGTGTTCGCATGGCTCTGAGACCTATTACTCCTATGTCTTTACCATGGGTATGTCTCTCGCTGCTTCTGTATGAGCGATAGAACCTTTCATATGGCGTCTCATTGCCATGTTGCGAGCAGCCCATACGATGGGCCATTCTTACAGTATACAACTTCGAGAGGAAAGATAACTGCCATCCAAGATTATAAAGTTCCACAATAACCTCAAGAGTGAGATTGGCGTTGTGCCCTGCGTTGGTACGAGATTGTGGATCAGGTCAAGCTTCGGTGGTAAGACGACCACGCGCATCCCTTACACTGTTCATGCAAGACATGGAGGTTGTCAATTCCCAGAAGTTCGTACCTTTTGGTGGTTTGTTGCCCTGATCTCTCGCACAGCGAACATAATGATGCAGTAGTGCTATTCGACCTTGTACGCGTTCTTGTTTGCATTGATTCAGACGATAAGACTGGGCCTTTGCCAAGTATTTTAGAAATCAGTACGATAGGCTGCGTGAGGTCAGAGGCGGCTCGAACCGGCGGTCAGCAGGACATGTGGTGCAGTGGAGTCTTGACGAGTTGATCTGATCGCTGCTGCAAGGGCCCCCGACTGCGCTCTTGAGACGTCTCGACTTGCGAGTACCCGAGCTCTAGACAAACAGAGAAACAGTGGAGGGATGAAGAGCAAACGGCCGTCAAGAGTGAACGACTGCGCAGACTACCTTGGTGGCTGCGGTTTAGACTCTGGGCTCTCCAAGACGACGGAAGAGTGAGTGGTGGGGTCAGCTGGAGCTCGAAGATGAATTGGGCCGAAACTCGTGAACGGCACGAATTGCGAACTAAGATGCAGTTTGAGTAACAAAGTGCGCGAATCAAACACGAGGACGCGCTCCAAAAACGGACTAAATGGGCCTTCGGAAGAAAAGCAAGGTGATTTGGAGGGCGGACAGAGCCAGATGTTGCTGCAACGGCGTTCCGAAGAGATGCAGCCAATGGCAGGCGCGCCATCTGGGTGGCTGGTCGGAGACCCAAGTACATACCCTCTTTATACCCTCGCACGCCCGCTTTCATTTCTGGGTGATCCTCTCTCTTATCCATCGCGCATAACTATACACTCTCCAATTCCACTCAGGTACTTTCAAACACAAACGCGCGCGACAAACATCGTCGTCAAACAGAAGACACCAACGCCGCGAGCTGATCAACGCGCGTGCCTGGTAAGGCTGGCGCACAACTGACTCTCGGCCCAGTCACACTGGTACCGTCTTGCGCTCTTGCCCATCACTCTTGACCGCTGCGCCTGTTCATGACCCATTCACTCAACTCTCTCTCATATATCGTTGCTCCTTGGATACACATACCAACATCTACCTTGTGCTCTCGTCGTCGTCGATCTAGAAAGCTTATCAGTACCCGCTATCTTAACTCCGTCAACGCGATACCGCCGCCATAGCATGAGCACGACTATCACTCGCCCCATCTACGAATCGCACCCTTCGGTCGACGCGTCTATGGAAGATTTTGAGTTCCGCACAAACTCTCCCGAATTTCTGCGACCTGATTCGCACGCGCGCATCCATTTCATGAGCCCGACTGCTTCAGACTACTCCGAGGCAGCAACCCAGCCCGATATCGACGGAGGTTGGTCGCCGCCAGCCTGGCGCAAGGCAGGAAGTGGGTGGTTCAAGCATCACCTCCAGCAGACCGGTCTCATGTCGCCGTACGGAAGCAGGGAGTGCAGCCCGGAGGAGTATAGAAAGGGCCTGACGCCGTATGATGACGACGATGAAGATATCTTGGTCGCGGCAGGCATCCCTCTTCCCATCAGTCCTCTCAAGGGCAGAAGCCCAGAACCTAGTTACAGCCCTACCGTTGCCGCAGTCCTGAAGCAGGATGAAGACAAGAGGAGGCAGATGGCCCAATCGCAAAGGGAGGCAGAGCATTCATGGCCGGACAAGCATGATAACNNTGTATGCATCGTCGTGTGATTGTACTGATCATGACGGCTGACCAGGATGGTAGATATCCGTTTTTCCGTTCGAGCAGACGTGCAACAGCGCACAGAACCCATCGAAGCAGTCATAGCCCATTTTCGCAAACTTTGGGGTCGCTTTACCAAGAATCGATACACTACCTTCCTCACTTTGATGTCAGCGTTGTTTGCACTGACTCTTACTCGCGCCTTGTTTTCAGAACCTGTGACTGGACCTACCCCTGACCTCATCAAGGTGGCCGGCCTGGCCAAGTCCTTTGAACCTCTGATGTACTACAGTGAGAACGGCCACAGCCAGGTCGTCCAGCTAGGCGAGACAGGTGTCGCCGTTTGGGACTTGGGTGAGAGCGTTCGCTCGACCAACATGACCTCCGGTCCCATCATCGTGCGCGAACTCGATGAGCTTTCGGACAGCCTGAAGAACCTTGCTCATGAGTTGACTCGCTTCTTTGCAGGAGTCGACGGTGATATTGACAGCATCCTTATCGTCATGGAGTGGGCGCAGAGAGAACTCACCAAGCTCAACACCTTGCCAGCATCCCACATGTCGCTGGCTTTCTCGAATCTCCACGCTCTCCTGTCGCGAGTTGGTCTACTCGAGGATCACCGTACAGGAGAGCAGACTGCTGTCGGCAAGATCGTCGCTGAACTGTTTGGCCGAACCGCACCGCAAGTCACTCGTGCCACACTCCAACGCACCTTTACAGACTTCCTCGGCGTACTCGAAGAGAGCATCAACAATGAGTTGACTGCTAGCATGAGCTTGTTTGCCCACTTTGAGGCCATCGATCGTCAATTCCTCAATCTGCAACGCGTCGTCATTCGCGAAACCGACGCCCAAGAGCGAGAAGAGAACGAGGCGCTGGCCTCGCTGTGGGCTCGGGTCATCGGTGTCAACGCTTCACGCTTGAAGAAGTTCGAGAAGAACAAGCAGCTCCTCTCGTCTCTCCGTGAACGTACGATCCAGAACAAGCACGTCTTGGTCGACCACAACGGCCGTCTGCTCCAGCTCAGGAGCAACCTTGAGATCCTACGCAAGAAGCTGGTCTCTCCACTTGTGCGATCAAACGGTACCAGTACCCTCACTGTCGATGAACAGATCAAGGGGTTGGAAGGTACCTACCTCAGCCTGCGAGCCACGAGGGAGGCCCAGAAGAGTCGTCTCTACGAGATTATCCATGATGCAGGTACAAGGAGGGTGGGCATCGTGAGTGAGGGATACGCTATCGAAGGTCGTTAGATGATACAGTACAGTAAACTCTTCTGTCTGCGTTCTTGCGATGGCGTCGATGGCGTATTCTAAGAGGAACCGGTGTTATATGCGAAGGGGCACTTACGGGTAACGATGGGACAGGATGGGACGGAATGGTATACACCGAGGAGTCTATGTCTTTTTTTTCTTGTCTTATCTGGAATTTTTGGAGATGGTGTGGTATTTTGTTTTTGGGTTGGAGTCGTCTTTTGTTTTGTGATGATTTCGTACTCTGGTTATGGTATCGACAAGAACAGCACGTCGCTGTGATTGTCGATTTAATTCCCTCAATGCGACACTTACAGATTGGACATTGTGACAGCGCGCCTTTAGATGAATACTGATGCAGGCCATGTGGTGGGCTACAAGAGGTTGTCCATCTTGCATGAACCTGCAGAAACGATCTCTGGCTGTTTGTGACTTGTTCCCTGACATCTGTGCATGGCTGACAATTGTGCGACCGGGATCTCAAGTTGTTGCAGCCCGAGAGTGGTGCTACCGCGGCAGCATTATGGACAAAAGAGGTACTTCTTACCCCAGCTCTCAGACCTCAATTCGTTCACATACCGTGACACCATGTTTACCACCACGCCCTTCGACTTCGTGCGTCTATATACAAGATCCTTTTCTTCTTCGAAACGCGGGACGCATTGGAATATCGTGCTCCAAAAAGGATAGCACCGGCGGATATAAAGATGGGGATAGCGAGGCACTCCAAGGAAAATTAGGTTTAGATACAGCAGTTTGCACAGCCTCAATGACTTCATTTTACGACCAAAGCTCCCTTTTGCAAAACGACAAACCGAGAGGTATTCGGCGGGAAAGCGCAGCCAAGGACCTCGTGCAACACCTTTTCTCTTGATTCCATTGTCACTTCTGCGCCGCTCTTCATCTCGCACCCTCTTGCTGTCCCCGATTCTTTGCTGCAAGCGTGCTGTGCTGCGCCTCCACCACGGTTCCATTCCTCTTGGCTTGAACAGTGCCAGCGGGTTTCATTGATTCCACAACGGGTTCTTTTCACCACTCACCAGTCNAACTCTGCTCGCATCCATTGAATAGAGTTATCTCTTGGCCTGACCAGTCCGGTGACCAAGCAGCCTTCACACCCAGCTAATACCTCTAACCACCTTGCGACCTCTTTTCTCTCCTTTCTTCCTCGCAAGATATGAGTGAGTGATATCCGTCCGGTCCTGTACGCTGCCCTTTAGTGACACCTCTCTCACGATACACCTTGACTCGCACCGCTACCGAAACATTCGGCCCCCACTTGGCGCATATTACTGACTTGATATAAAGACAAAGTAAAGTCCAAGTTTGGCCGCGCTGGACGAACCTCAACTAGTGACGCACGCAACAACCAGATGAATCGTGGTTCCAGCAATGGCGCCAATGGCGATGCCGACGAGAACACGCCTCTGGTCAACGAGAGCACATCTCGTCTGGGCAACATGAAGAGCTTGCGCACGCGCGTGGCATCGTACCGCGAAGACGACAGAGCCTGGGTCAGCTATCCTATGAGCTTCCTCTACATCACCTGGGCTGTTCTCGCCAGCAACTACGTCAACGTCCTCCTCGTCTTCGTCCCTGTCGGAATCGCACTCGGAGCTTTGGGCATGAACCCTACCGCTGTATTCGTTGTCAACTTCCTGGCCATTGTTCCTCTTGCTGCTCTCCTGAGTTTCGCTACCGAGGAGCTCAGTGTGAAGCTGGGTCAGACAATTGGTGGTCTCATGAATGCGACTTTCGGAAACGCTGTCGAGTTGATTGTATGTAGGATCGTGTGGACACCCTATTATGGCCTTAGCTAACCAGTGATTTGTCCANNGGTCTCGATTGTTGCTCTGCAAAAGGGCGAAATTCGCATCGTCCAGGCCAGTATGCTCGGCAGTATCCTTTCGAACATCCTCCTGGTTTTGGGTTGCTGCTTCCTTTGCGGCGGCTGGAAACACCAGGAGCAGTCCTTCAACTCGACTGTTGCCTCGACCATGTCCTCCCTGATGGCTGTCGCTTCCGCCTCTTTGATCATCCCTGCCACCCTTTACGCCGCCCTCGCCAATTCCAAGGAGAGCAACCACGCTACCGATGACAACATTCTCATCCTATCTCACGGAACCGCCATCATCATGCTCATTCTTTACTGCCTCTATCTTTTCTTCCAGCTCAAGACTCACGCCAACCTGTTTGACGAGGAACAGCAAGATGGAGAGGAGGACAAGGAGCCCGAGGTCTTGAAGCCTATCCCTGCCGCCGTCGCACTTGTTCTCATCACGATTGCTGTTGCCGTCTGTGCTGAGTACCTGGTCGACTCGATCGATGCCATTGTCGAAGAGGCGCACATCTCGAAGACATTCATCGGTCTGATTCTTCTGCCAATCGTCGGAAACGCAGCAGAACACGTCACGGCGTGTGTTGTCGCATACAAGAACAAGATGGACCTTGCAATTGGTGTTGCAATTGGGTCTTCGCTCCAGATTGCTCTGTTCGTGACTCCTTTCCTTGTCCTTCTCGGATGGGCCATGGGACAGCCCATGACTCTTCACTTCCAGATGTTCGAGACTGTCGTCTTCTTTGTCAGTGTTCTCGTGGTTAACTACCTGATTGCGGATGGAAAGAGCAACTACCTCGAAGGAGCCATGTGCATTGGTACGTACATCATCATCGCGCTGGCCATGTGGGTGTACCCCGACAATGCTGGCGACCCGATCTCGAAGCCTAAGCTCTTCTAAGTGAGCTCTGGCGACATGGCAAGCAGAGTCGGGTCTGAGGATAGCTCGGTTGTTGGTAGATTGATTCTGGTTCTGCAAGCTCCGAGTTCTCAATCAAAAATGGCAGTCAGTAAAGTTTGACGGTATTGGGGTTGGCTCTGCTCGAAGCAGAAGCTGTTTGTTTTCTTTGTGTATACCTAGATAATTGCATCTCTTTTGTATCTCAAATCAAGCAGGCTTGAAGCAGTACTTGTGTAACATGTGATTGCTGACGATGACTCTGTCCGGAAGGGCTCGGCGTCTCAGGCCGAGGGGTCAGCTTTCCCCAGGAAATGACATGCGCCAGGTCTCAAAAAGATTCCCCTTGTTGAAGTCCCACCGACATATGCAGGCACATATACGACGCGTTGGGACTGCGAGCTGAACATAGTACGCTTTCTGGAAGGTGCTTTCCTCTGGACCCATCATCGTGAGGAGATCGCAGTGAGGCTGTTTCTTGCCCGCCCCGCGCCGCAGCGGATGCCTGCAACCCACCAGGACCAATCCTCGACCATACCCACACCCGCCAAGTGATACAGCATAAAATCTGCCGCTACCGCTGCCGCTCAGCGGGGAAGAGCTACTTGTATATCTGCCTCGTGGTTGCACACGAGACGTGACCTCGCACCCTCACTACAGACTCGACCCCCACCCGACCATGGCTCCTCCATCACGCAAGAACAAGTCCAGCTTCTGGCCCAACTTCATCTACGATGCCTGGCTGTGGACCTTCTCCATCCTTGTCGACCTCTTCTTCCGTGAAGTGCACCCTCGCAGTTCCTGGAAGGTCCCTCGCAATGGCCCCGTCATCATCGTCGCCGCTCCACACGCCAATCAATTTGTCGACCCTCTGATCTTGATGCGTGTCCTGCGGAGGGAAGCTCAACGCCGCATCTGTTTTCTGATCGCCGAAAAGTCTATGAAGAGGAGGTTTATTGGTTGGGGTGCCAGAATGGTTGGCTCCGTGCCTGTTGGCCGTGCCTTGGACCTGAAGAAGCCCGCCGAAGGAAAGATACACCTGCCCGACCCTGAGGGCGATCCGACATTGCTCAAGGGCGTTGGCACACACTTCGACAACAAGGACGTCTTCATGGTTGGAGGAGTTCTTGCATTGCCGAGCTTCGGCAACAAGTTTGCAAACACTGAGATCAAGGAGATTCTGGGACCCAACGAGATTCGTCTCAAGAAGCCCTTCAGCGGTAATGTTGCCTTGCGTCAACTGACCGGTCAGGCCGTCAAGGACGAAAAGGCCGAGCCAAAGTTGACTCAAGGCTTCGAAGGTACAAAGTTTGAAGTTGCTCCTCATGTCGATCAGGGTGAAGTCTACTCTTCCGTCTTCCAGAAGCTGCATGAGGGTGGCTGCATTGGTATCTTTCCTGAAGGAGGAAGTCACGACAGGACCGAATTGCTACCCTTGNNAAAGGTATGTTATGACGCCATCATCACAGGACTTTGCTAAGCATCAGTAGCTGGTGTGGCCATCATGGCTCTTGGTGCGCTCGCCGAAGACCCCAACTGTGGCGTCAAGATCGTTCCTTGCGGTATGAATTACTTCCACGCTCACAAATTTCGTTCGAGAGCGGTCGTCGAGTTTGGCACTCCTGTCGAAATCCCAAATGAACTGGTCGAGATGTACAAGAATGGTCAAAAGCGTGAAGCTGTTGGTCAAGTCTTGGAAACCGTCTATCAAGCTCTCGTCTCTGTCACAGTCACAAGCCCTGACTATGACACTCTTATGGTATGCTCAAACCTCAATCTGATCTGAGTAATCCATATGCTAACACTGTTCAGNCTCATCCAAGCAGTAAGGCGCTTGTATAACCCAAAGGGCAAGAAGCTTCCTCTGCCCATGATTGTCGAACTGAACAGGCGTCTCGTCAAAGGGTACACTACTTACAAGGACGATCCTCGCATCGTCAACCTGAAGAAATCCATCCTGGCATACAACAAGGAGCTGATGATGCTCAACATCCGTGACCACCAAGTCAGCTACGCCAAGTTCTCCATCTTCAAGGTCATCCTCACACTCTTCTACCGCCTCGGTAAACTGCTTGTGCTGGCCATTGCAGTCCTTCCAGGCCTAGTCCTTTTCGCTCCTGTTTTCATCACTGGAAAGGTGTACTCAGTCAAAAAGTCTCGTGAAGCCCTGGCAGCATCGACAGTCAAGATTCAAGGTCGCGACGTGATGGCCACTTGGAAGTTACTCGTCTCTATGGTTGTCGCACCCCTTCTCTACAACTTCTACAACATCATCTTGGCCATCTGGACTCACTACAATCGTATTGGAGGCCGTGTGCCGCAATGGGTTNNCCCCCTGTGGGCTGTCTTTGCTTTTGGTTATATCCTGTTCCCAGCTATAACTTTTGCCGCTCTCAGATTCGGCGAAGTTGGCATGGATATCGTCAAGTCATTGCGTCCGCTGATTCTCTCTCTGGGACCATCATCCGGCAACACGCTAGTCAAGCTAAGAGCTAAGCGTGCCTCGCTGGTCGAACAAGTAACAGAAGTGATCAACGAGCTTGGTCCTGAGCTATATCCCGACTTCGACCACCAGCGCATCGTTTCTGACCCCAGCCATCCACTTTCNCCCTCATACTCACAATCACACACACCCCGCTCCCGCCGAAGTTCCGGATACGACCGCATGTCCATGACTTCTCCTGATCTAACGCATTACTTCAGTCGTACCGGGACCGCGGGCGCCAGCATTGGCGGCGGCAGCGGACAAAACACCACTCATCTTCCTCGCAACGAGTCTTTTGGCAACATTGGCGGCTTTGGCTTCTTCTCATCGCGACCGCACACGCCCAATCGCTCGCGCAGCCGTAACCGCAGCCGCACGAGCAGTGACGGTGGCTTTGGTATCACTGCCATGAAGCCAATGACCACCATTGATTCCAAGGGTGGCTATGAGACGGTCACTGAGAAGATTAGAGATGCGATGAAGCAGCGAGGCCGTCGGAGGAGGAGTGAAGATGCCTCGACGGCAGCTGTCGATGGATGGGAGATGGCCGATGCCGACGAAGAAGTTGAGGATGATGAGGATAAGAAGCAGGTCTGAGACCCTATCTTTTCTTTTTGCATTATTGTTTTTGCATATTGTTTTCTATGGCCATACAGCTATTCGGTCACTTTCCGGGGTTTGTTCTTTTGTTCTTGCTTTTCTTTCTAAAGATACCAGATCGCCTGCCCTGCGATTATTGTATTCGCAGTGTCATCGTTTGCCCTTTGTTTTTTTTTGGCTTGCACATCGATCGCTTTGCCCTGCTTGTAGTGTACAGTTTTAGTTTGTATTGGTAACACTGAGCGCATAATTCCCTAAGATGTTTGGCCGTGTATATGTTACAATTGATCTGATAGCCTAGACGCCTGTCTTGGTGGTCAAGATGTGGTTATCTGTTTCGAGACATTGCACTTTACTATTTGAACGTTGGAAAGCGATGACTCCTACGTTCTCTATCGATTCCATCATTCTCACCACATGTGATTGGTTCAAAACCGAACCTCCCAAGCCCCTTCTTTGAACTCAACTGGAGCCAAGCCTTCTTTACCTCACACGTGCTATACGGCCACAACGACTTTACAAGATGTATAAGCAAACGTGCTCACCATGCCTTCCTCACCTCTTGATCATCTTCGCAATCACAGTATCGAGGGTCATTGATTGCGCACCATGCACTTTTCGATCAAAAGTGCCCTTCACCAACTGACGTCCGGTTCTATGCCACTAGACTTTCGCAAAGTCTACGAATATCAAAGAGATGCAAGCAATACCTGCAAACCTAATACACGACATTTGCTTTTCCGTCTGGCAGATGTCTTTCTCCGAACTTGGGATCTAGGGTTCACTGCATTTGGAGGACCACCTGTACATTTCCAGATCTTGCATCAGCGGTTTGTGGAAAGTAAAGGTGGGTATGCTGCTTGGGTTGATGATCAAACTGTAAGTTCTTCCTGCACCCGAGCAAAAGGGATCTTGAGAAAGCAGAGTTGACGGATCGTTCTTGTGGATATACAGTACCATGAGCTTTTCGCCGTGTCGCAAGCGCTGCCTGGACCGGCGAGTACAAAGATGCTGTTTATTCTGGTCTTGTACCATGCTGGTCCCATATGTGCGGTTTTGGCGTTCTTTGTCTGGAGTCTTCCTGGTGCTGTGGGTATGTTTTTGCTTTCCATTGGTGTTGGTAGGATTAGTGAGGTCCTGCCGGGTCCGGTGTATGGCTTGCTATCCGGTTTGAACGCATCGACGGTCGGAATTGTTGCTTTGGCAGCTGTACAGGTGAGTTTTTGACTTTTTCTGTGATTAATCCGTGTCTCTCAGTATATTTGCTGACCAAGGCACTCTCTCCCGTGAAGNCTCGCTACCAAAGCCATCACTAATCCTCTATCTCGCATCTTGGTCATTTTTGGTGCTTGCGCTGGACTCTGCTATACAGCATTGTGGTACTTCCCCACTTTGGTGTGTATAGGTGGTACAGTGGCAGGACTCTGGGATCTCTATCTCAGTCGTGCGATTGGCAGATTACGTGCCAAACAGCATCAAAAACGCATCAACGAACAGCGTATTGTGGAAGAAAATCATTTAGCAGAAGTAACCAGTATTCCCTTGCAGGACATGTCGGCAGCACAGCCATCATCATCACTGCGACGAATGGCCAGAGATGAAGCTACCGAAGTTGCGACCACGAAAACTCCAGCCGCCGAGCGTGTCATTACAGAAGCAATGCCAGACCTTCAAGACAACAATCACACCTACTCATTGTCTCTGTGGCAGAGTATCGCAATCGCCTCGCTCTTCTTCGTCTCCTTCGCCGTCACCCTCGTTGCCCGAGGTACTATCACCTCTCCACCCTTACTCCTCGACCTCTTCGCAAACATGTACCTAGCGGGCACCATCATCTTCGGCGGAGGCCCTGTCGTTATCCCTCTTCTCAAAGAATACACCGTCCAACCGCACTGGGTCTCATCCCGCGACTTTCTCATCGGTCTCGCCATCATTCAAGCTTTTCCCGGTCCAAACTTCAACTTTGCAGTCTACCTCGGCGCTCTGACTATGCGTGCTTCAGACACCGCACAAGGATTATCCGGCGCAGTGATAAGCTTCCTCGGTATTTTTCTTCCTGGTCTCACTCTCAGCGCCGCCGCAACGGGTGTTTGGCGCATCGTACGCACAAAAGCTGTTGTGGCGAGTGTGCTCCGCGGTATCAACGCCACAGCAGTGGGGTTGGTGTTTACCGCTGTTTATCGCCTTTGGGAGATAGGATACCTGACTCCGGAGTCGGGGCAGGGTAAGAGTTTGGCTAATGAGCCTTGGTGGGTTGTTGTTGCTGCGGTGGCTTATTCGGGAGCTGCGTGGTTTAGGGTGCCGCCTGCGGTCGCCATTGTTTTGGGTGCGGTGTTGGGGTTGTGTTGGTATGGTGCTGTTGGGAATAGGCATTTGGGGGTCTGAAGCTCAGGGTGGGAAGATGTTATGAGTAGACTGTATATAGTATAGGCGAGTTTTGCAGAGTTCGATATGATACTGGCCCTTCTTCCACGATAGCATATGAGAGCTCTCTGCTTTTGTCATGACTTGGTACAAGTTCGACGTGTGCTTTACTCCTCGCAGCCTTACGGCGCATGCTGGCGATCCTGCTGTATGATAGATCGCCATATATACACATCTGCAATGGTTTGATGACGTTACCCAGCTGCAAGTGTCAACAATCAAAACTCCACAGTTGGTGGGGTACGCAGATCACCCCACATGCCATGCCATACATTAACCACAGCTCTCCCCAGCTCCCCTCCACGAGCCATCACTAGCCCTACCACGTTTTTGCATCAGACTTTACAAGATCCAAATCCATAATCATGTCAGCACCCAAGAACCCACCCTTCCGAGCAGAACACCTGGGCTCCCTCAAACGCCCAGACAACCTCCTCGCGGCCCGCCGCGACGTCCACGAACACAAATCCACTGCAGACTCTCTTCCGACCATCGAAGACCGCGCCATCGCCGACGTGGTCAAGATCCAAGAACAATGCGGCTTCCACGCCCCCAGCGATGGCGAGTACCGTCGCCACATGTTCTGGGGCACGTTTTTCCCTTCTCTGCAAGGCTTTACCGAAATCCAAGGACCCAGTGTTGATATTTTTCGCGAATATGTGCCTGATATTGCTGCATTTTTGGAGGCTGATCATGTGCCTGGTGAGACTGTGATTTGTGAGGGTAAGATTGAACATACGGGAAAAAGCAGCTATGTTGAGCAGTTTGAGTATATGAAGAGTTTGGTGCCTAGAGAGCAGTGGGGGAATATTAAACTCACGCTTGCTGCACCGAATTGGTATGTTTTTATATGTCCTTTTTCGTTATTTTGCAATTCAATGTTTTGCTGACGAGTGCAAAAGNNGTATCATCTGAGATACAAGACTGGGAAAGCTTATCCCAAGGAGGTATATGCCAACGACCAAGAGTATTTCGCAGACATTGCAAAGGCATACCGTACCGAACTCCAAATCCTCTACGACGCAGGCCTCAGAAACGCTCAAGTCGACGACCCAAACCTTGCNCTGTAACGTGAACCTCCACTTTCCCGCCTTGACTCACCCACTAACTTCTCATCTACAACAGACTTTTGCTCCGAGAAAATGCTCGACGGCTGGAGTGCAGACACCTCCAACACACAAACCGCCGACGAGCTCTTCGACAGTTACATTGCATTTTACAACGACTGTTTCCAGCGCCCGCAAGACATGCATCTCGGCATCCATCTCTGCCGCGGCAACTTTGTAAACTCGCGCCACTTTAGCGAGGGCGGCTACGATCGCATCGCCGTAAAGCTGTTCCGCAACCTCAACGTCAGCACTTACTACCTCGAATACGATACNCCCCGCGCTGGCGGCTTTGAACCCCTGAAATCTTTGCCTCAAGACAAGTTTGTGGTGTTGGGTGTAGTGACCAGCAAATTCCCGAAGCTTGAGGATAAAAAGGAGATGGTGGATAGAGTGATGGATGCGGCCAAGTTTGTGGCAGAGGGGAGTGGGCAGAGTGTACAGCAGGCTTTGCAGAGGATGGGTGTCAGTCCGCAGTGTGGGTTTGCATCGCACAGTGAGGGTAACTTGTTGACGTATGATGATATGGTGGAGAAGTTGAAGTTGGTCAGGGCAATTGCTGATGAGATTTGGCCGGGTGAGCCTTGAGCATGCTTTTCGAGTCCTGCTCTGAGGACGTTCTTGGAAATATCAGGTGGATGGACTGGTTGTGTTGCACGCTACTTTTTTTTTTTGGAAAGGCTTGAAAGGGATTTTACTGGCTTGGTTGTCCCTGTCCTCTTGATTAAGTTGACATAGTGTAATCTCATGAGGCGAGGTACCACATTGACGAAGCAGATAATGATGAGAGAATGTGAACTCACGTTAAGATGACGGATATAGGTGTGTCTGTATCTTTTATACTATCCAGACACTTATTTTTACACAGAACCTCTCTCGCTCAAGGCTGCACGCCCTTGGGCATCTGGACTTTGAACACCAGCGCCTGGTTGTCAAGATTGTACCCCGAAGCATCTTTATACGGATACTTTCCACCATCCATAAACCCATCCTGCGTGATGAAATCATTGTCGCTGAGCGAGAATACAAAATACTCGCCGTCATTGCCATTGCCCACAGGAACAGTGGCAATAGACTCCCACTTTTCGTTCAGGAGTCCAGCGTCCTGAGCACCCCCATTGTGGACACTGAATCGGTTGAGTTGGGTGTTGACATTGAAGTCGAGGAAGGAGCAGTAAGTTGCCGGTTGCACACTTGCATTGAGCTTTCCTTTAGAAGAAGCAATAGAAGCATTGAACGCATCATTAGCAACACCAGCAATATTCGTAGCATTGGAGATGTCGAAAATGTCAATGTGGCGATAAACACTCATGGAAGAGTCTTGACCGTGTCCAGCGCCCGAGTCGCGTGCGAGAATGAAGAATTGTGTTGGTGTCAAAAAGTGGATTTCTGATTGTCCGGCTACACTGTCGTCGTTGTATAGGGGTAAGGGGACCACGTATTCGGCTTCGTAGACTGGTGTTGAGGAGGCAGATGATGGGGTAGAGTATTGTAGTAGACGAGTGTAGCGTCTGTTTTTCTTCTTGAGGCCGCCTTCTTGGTCGAGTGCTGATTGCATGAGTGCGTAGAGGTGTTTGCCATCAGGAGATGCGGTGAGGCCTTCGAGACCTTGGTTGTTGGCTCGTCCTTGTGTGGGATCCTCGGGGGTGATTTCCTCGTCAGGGTTGTATATGGNGGGTGAAGCGGCACTGAAACTTTCCGTGCCGTTGCGGAGGGGGATGTATGCATTGGGAGGACGAATGGCCTGAAGCATCTTTCCGGTAGCAGAGAATTTGTAAATGTACGGGCCATATTCATCAGAAACCCAGAATGTGCCATCAGCATTCAGGATGAGGCCTTCGGAATCCACGGAGACGCGATGGCCGCCTGTACCGTTGTTGCCAAAGCCATCGCCGGTATATGTGGCAGCGGGCAAATCAGAGAAACCAGAGAATTGGGGGTAAGGGCCAGTAGCATCAGGGTCTAGACCAGTGACAGGAGTCCCCTTGGGATCAGTGAAGCGGACCGTATCCACGTATGTGAAGTGCAAGTTAGGGCCTGACGGCGAGGCAACAGTCGCATTGTCTTGCAGTTGCAAACTGATCTCAAACTTGTGGACGCGGTTCTGGAAGTTCAGAGTGCCTTGTGTGTTCCATCCTCTATNCTGTTTTGTCTCTCATTAGCAAAGAACATCTTATCGGCGAAGGCAAGGAAAAAACGAAATCTTACCAGGCAAAGCCCACAAAACACCTTTGTACGAGTCACCGTTCTTCCCGTTTCCACCACACTTCTTCCAACTCTTCTGGTCAATGGCTATGGAACTGCCCAGTCCGCCGAGTGTATCTCCGAACTTGTCTCTGGCATCACTTTTCACAAAGCCATACCCAGCCAATTCCTGATAGATATACGTGTTACCGCCACAAGTGGTAGTATTAACAACACCAGATGAAGTTGCAGGATCGTGGCTCTTTCTGGGCGATTTGGAAGGAATGGCAGTAGCTATGCCACTGAGTGCTGTCAAGACAGCAAGACGGGAAAGCAACAACATGATTGGGATGACAGATGAGAAGCAATTGACAAGAGTAGCACTTACTTCACACTACAGTGGCCAACAGTGTACTCTTTATACCTACCTACCTGTCTTTATGGCGGCAGTTGAGGCAAAAGACGATAGCTCCGCGGCCAACATAGCATGCTTCATGACGGGACAGCAGTCATTGTGCATGCGACGGGACTTCACCTCAAGTGCTCTGGTTGGCCTTCTCCCTTTCCCCTGGAGATCCCACAGCGAACTCCACATATCCTTCTTGGGCATCACTAAGGGTCATTCCGATGTCTCGAACTGTAGTTCTGCTAGCCACGAGGGCGTATAGAACACCTTGATTGGCCAGACACCCAGCCGTGATGCGCCAAGACTCGATTTTCGCTGCGGCGTGCTGCGCATCTTGAGAGTTCCACAAGTGGCTTTCTATCCAAGGGGAGATGATCGACTCCAATTGGTGATAGAGGTTGGGAACGTGAGTTGAAAAAACACGTGTGAGTTTGTGAGTTACACGTGAGTTTGTGCGGACTTGCCAGAACAAGAGGACTGAGGGGGAAAAGAGTTTGCTGAGCAAACAAGAACAACAACGGTCAAGAAAGTCTCATGGGGGTGAAAGCAACATCACGTTGGAGAGTTTGAAGGCTCAGATGGTGTTGCTCTCGTTGAGATGACGACCAATGTCTACCAATCCGATCAACTATGCCGTACGTCGATCGCGCCATCCAACTTCCTCGGGAAGTCTGGACCTCACGGCACCAAGAGGAACTGCAACAAAGATGGTGTCAGCCGATCTTCAAGTCGCAAGGACATCAAGCCTATTCGATTCTCGAAGAGACCCTATCCAGCGCTCAAGGCTCTCGCCCTCATCTCCAGCATCAGACGCTCCAGCCCTTCAAACAGTCCTCCAAGCGATTCCTCACAAACAACAGAAAGAATCAGGCCAGTGGACCTTTTTCAATTCTCTTAACCTCATGAACAAAAACATCTGATCACTATCATATGCTGTAAGTTCTGGAGATAGCGGAGATCTGTGCGGCTTTGTAAACCTCGGTCTTGCTGTTTATCACATACCGCTCATGGTCCTTTTTTTCTTCTCCTGCAAGGCAGTTCTGCCAATCGGCTTCTTCCTCTGTGCTCTGATTCTGCCACACTCACTGCCTGGAATTTGTACAGCTGTCTGCATATCCTGCTTTGTTACATCAACACAGAAGTGGAGATAGACAAATTGAAAAGCTTTTAGGAGTGGTGAAAATCGTATAGTCATGCCCAATGGCTTTTGATCTCACTCCTTTTGAGTGATTAATGGCGGGAGCTTGTGTTTTCGCTGTTCTCTTGATTCTGTAATGTCGTTAGCGTCAACAAAATGCTCGTCAGTAAGTTGATGAATTAAAGGGAGGTCAAGATATGGGAGATGTCCTGATTCCGAGAGTATAATCACACAAATGTGCCCAAACATAATCTTTCTGAAAACACAGGATGGACTTTAGAGTTGGAGAATTTGGAAAAGGGGGCGAGTATAAAGATACCATATAACCTGGTGAACATTGTTTCTTCTCTCCGGTGTTATGGAAGATACCACCAATCGAGGAGGCGAGGGAAATGTTCTCCAGCGACCTTGGTCATGAAACGATTGAGCTTATCAATAAACGTTTTCTGGTTAAGAAGCTTGCCGTCTGGAGATGCCAGACAGCGAGGCAAGAGCAAGAATCAGGTCAATGGCCCTCCGTCGATCCTCTTGTCTCCTTATCATCAAGGATAACTCATGACAAATCACTATATTGGAGACAACGAGACTCATGTGTGGGGTCATCGACCCCCATCGGCGGGTGCCATAATGATGTGAACTTTCTCCTGATCCCAGATGTTGCTCAATGTCGAAGCATACTTCAGATCGTATATGTCGTTTTGGAGTTTTTGTGAGATCTTTGAAACTTTCTCTAGAGCAGACAAAGAGACGAAAAGATTGTCAAGTCTCGGAGTCTGATGTCCACACGTCTTGTGTGATTCTTACCATAACCAGTGGTTTGACATTTTAGGTTACGATATGCGACTGCTTGATGGGAAGGGAATAGTTGGTGGCTAAGAGACGTTGCATTTACCGTTCGCACGTGTGTCCACTTCCAACCTCATTACGATTTCTCAACTCTAGAGAGATTTGCATACATCTGATGTTCTGGGAAAGCGTGTGAACAGATTACTATCATTCCGCTACAAGATCCATGGACATCAATACTCTAGACTTTATGGTAGCCATGATGTGAGCCCTCGCGCCCTTCTAGAATGCCAACACAGGATAGTGCGGTCTCGAAAGCTCACATTTGCTGCAATGCGGACTGCCGGCGAAGGGTACAGCCAGAGTATAGAAACAACCAGGTCAGTGACTCTAAAGCCTTGCTTCCACGTCCCGGAGTCCAGCTAGTGATGTAGTTGCATATGTAATGCTTAGAGATACACGGGAGATCGTTGATACAAGGAAGCTCCATGGACCTTGTAGCTCTCTCGAATCCCAAGCGAAGCACGTGCAAGTCAGCTATAATATGTTGGCCTCTTCGGTCAGAAGCTTCGCAGTTAAATAATGGTGATATGTAGATGAAGTGTTTGACGATTTTGATCTGGCTTACTCTACGTTATATCGTAGGTCATCCGGCAGTCTAGCAACCAGTTGGTAACATAACATTGACCATGCAAGCGAGATGACATGGAGATTGACGGGTTCCCAATGTACCCTCCAGGACTTGTAAAGTCCCGCGGTTCTTGTCCGACAAGCTCTGGGCGAGCATCCCCCAATTTTGCCATAGCCAAGTATCCCAGCCAGTGGAGGGTTGAATTCTCCGGTGTTACGCATGAAGAAGAGAGCTTCTGCGTCTCATTCGAATCTTTTGATGCATCGAGAACGCAAAAGTGCTTCAAAAGTCGCAAGATTCGGCAATGAGTTCTGCCAACTCTTCAAGATACTTCTTGTCTTGATCGTCAAAGCCGTTTTTCACAGCACAGTCGACATCGATGATAGCGACAACCTAAAAAAAAAAGAAAGAAAATCCACCATCAGTAAACCCTTCTCCAAAAACAACACATTCACGCTTTCATAACTCACCTTTCCCCCTTGCAAAATCGGCACAACAATCTCACTCGCACTCTCTGCATCACAAGCAATGTGCCCCGGGAAAGTCTCCACATCATGCACCAATTGCGTTGTTTTTGTGGAAACAGCGGTGCCGCAAACGCCTCTGCCGAAACGGATGGTTTGGCAAGCTACTTTGCCTTGGAAGGGGCCGAGGATGAGTTGCTTGGTTGGAGAGGAAGGGTCAAGGACGTAGAAGCCGGCCCAGTTTGTGTGGGAGGATGGAGAGGGAAGAGCGTGGAGGGCGTGCCAGAGTAGAGAGGCTGCGTTGGAGAGGTTGCTGTGTGGTGTGTGGTTAGTGGTGGATAGAGGAAGGGGTGGATTTGGGTGTAGAAATTACCAGACCTAGGCGGTTCATTAGCTTTGGCTTATTTCACCATATACCTTTGCTTGGGATGTTGTTATTGGAAGATATATGGTTGTTGTGATTGGGACAATTGAGCAATGCGATTGAATGAATGCCTCCTTTTCTTGCACCAGCCAAGTAAAACACAAGCAGGAATTGATACCGAAGATTTGAAAGCGAAAGAGAAGCGAAGAAAAGAACTTACCCAATTCCTTTGATCATAGAATAGCCCTCTGGCTTGTTCCAGCACCTGTGTATAGGCTTCTTGCTTGCTCACATTGGAGACAAAGTTGGACGCGTCGGCATGCACCTCCATCAGATTTTAGCACACTCGCCATCTCTGCAGCACTTCCGCCCCCAAAATATCGATTCTTACCATGACTGTTTATAATATTCCCCTTCAAAGTCTTAATCAATGCAGTCAGTCAATCCAAGAAAGGTCACACGACAGCAAGCAAGTCGCGAAAAAGAAAAATTATTACGGATGAGTCGGGCATCCCACTCTCCGCAAATTTGCTCGGACCACACAACAACACACACATTGGAAATCTTTCTATGGAAGATGGAAGAAAGACAAGTAAGCACGCCATCGCAACAATGGCAGCGACGATGTTTGGCAAGGCAGTGAGATTATCTTTATAACGTCCATGGCCATGATGGAAAACAGGCTATGCCGATGCATGGAGCCCTCTTCTAGAATCACTCATGCTAAGAGCCGTGGATACCCGGATAGCTGCCAAATTCTGGTCATGTCAGCTTGAGTGGGATAACACCCTGCTCTCAATATGCATCTCTCCGGAGACAATATCATCTTGTGTCTAGAGCATACGATGGCCCTTGTATATCGTTGAGCTGTTAGTGACCTGCTTAGCACATTTCAATGCTTATTGCGACATTAACTGCGGAGCGTAGCAAGCAAAAGATCCTTACGGAGTAGACGCGATGATGGTTTTCCCAAACACTCATCGTCTCGGAATTTGACTTGTAAACTTCGATAGCTCATGTCGAGCACATTTAGAATAGAAGCATGGCACGAGTCACAATTCACAAAACAAATCTTTAATCACAGAGTTTCGATTTCTTTACAGACATATCCAAAAGACCTGAACACACCCCTCAAATACGCCGCGCTTTGCAATGCCCTTATTCCCTTCCTGGGATCCAATACCACAACATTCATTGCCTTGCTACTTTCGCCTTTCTGTCTTTGTATACAAGCATCTCATCTAACCAGTTAAACAAACAAGAGCAGCCTCAAACTCGTCTACAACCCTCTCTTCGAGCTTATTCTCAATGTCTTTGGCGGCCACGGCGGGCTTCTGCCTAGCCCACTCTGTCTCTCGCTCACCGACGGGCATGATACGCTCTCGTAAATTGCGTCGGGTGCGCAGGATAGCCTCGACCTGTTCCTTGGCATTGGCACGATCGAATTCAAGACTGGGAATCTCGGCGGCCGAAGCACCAGAACTTGCGCCTACTGTTCGCAGCCTTTCGAGAATGAGGGAGATGAGGGAGAGGGAGTGTGTCTCGCTGGCAAGA